GGTGGGGTGTTATCGAAAGATAAGAGATGGGGTGGACATATTCAGTTGCCGTCCGGCAACCCGCTCCATTCCTGGCCTGACTGCGAAGGAAGATGCCTCGGTGGGCCAAGCGGATCCTCCGACACCTTAGCATACTCGATTCACGGACTTAACTACAGTACGCAAAGATACGATTTTGAACTTATTCGTTGGACAAATGTTTTATTTGTACTTTGCCCGATATTCAGGTTCAAGATTTCCGGCTTTGAAACGAGCCCACAGCCCGGTTCGCCGACCGGTCATGACCCAGCCAGCCGTTCCAAGACGGCTACCACATCTGTATGTAAATCATAATCTATTCCGCACCTAATACCATGACCACGGTAAGCTACCCCTCGGCTAACCTCTTCCCTCCTCCACGCGAAGAGACTGAGAACCGCGTGCATAAAACAGCGAGCAAAAGAAGATGAACCAGGTCCATTGACGCCGTGCAGAGATGATGCTGCAAAACCCTGTTGCTCCAATGTGTTGCCGGATGTGAGCGCTCCCCCAAGCGCCAATCCTCAAAATGAAGAATTCCCGACCAAATATCAGACGCCCGCCTGAAGAGGTAAAAAAAGCAATGCAAAAGCAAGAGTTGCCAGCAAAGGGTGGGTGATTAGTGGCATCGCCCGAAACTCTCGGGTGAGTGTTGCCACCCTGCTTGCTCAGCGTCACCGTCGAGGGGGGGCAAGGAACCGGACGGCTGCCGTGCGCTAGTTCGTCGCTGTATTCGTTGCTCATTTAAACCGTTCGATGGTATCGCCGATACCGGTGATCGAATCGTAATAGTTTGCCACCGCTTCTCGTTGCGGCAACTTGTTGCTCTCTATCCTTTCAGATAGATTATCTGACGATATACTGAGCTCGGACCCAACGATAGAAGACGAGTGAAGAAGTTGCCCTTGACAACTTTGACGCTGACGCCGACGCTGGCGCTGATGGGGCCGTCCATTATACGCCTCTGATGACCCGCGTCCGCTCCTTCTCGAGCTGCAGGGCATTTGCCTCGAACGCTTCCTTCTTGCACTGATGATGGGAAGAGCACTCATGTCAGCACGAAATTCCTCTGTAAGCAAGACTCCTGATAGCCCGGCGAGCCACCAGTTTGCCTTGTTATTACTTACATCTTCGAGGTTCTTGCACTTGTGGCTCTCTAATAGTCGGTGCTTGCTGCAATAGTGACCGTCGCAGAAAGTACAATCGCCTGTGATGGGTGCTGCGGGAAGCCTGCACTCGGTGAGCGAGCACTTGAGTCTCCTGGGGGCAGGCATGTTGTCGCAGGTGGTTTTTTGAGTTTAGTGTGGAGGTTGGATAACGTGAAGACGATGTTTGGGTGGAGGTTGTGGAATTAGCGAGGAGGAAAGAGCAGCGTCTCTTGAGGTGAGTTCGGGCGTGTGTTTTCAAGTTGCCCCCTAGAGATCCCGAGGATAAGATGAGTGGATGGGTGGGTGACAAATCGATCAATAGGTTGGCAGCTTATGAGACGAAAGGCAGTGAGTCAGGAAGAGGATTGAACGATAAGAGGTTCGAGGTCGGCGGGATGGGATGCTTATAAACAGAGCCGGTGGAGGTGACAAGGCTCACGTGGTGTGATGTTTGGGGACAAGCAAAGGGATAGGCAGCCAAGTGGCAGATTAACTTGGGCTAGTTTCGCGAGACTCTTGTTACAAGTGGAAATGGCTGGAAAGCGTTGGACCTCGTTGGCCAGGGGGTATGTAGTCGAGTGAGGATGATTAAGTACAAGATTTGTAGGTGAGGTAGCTGGTGGCCCGACTCGGACGTGATGTGTGACCAGTGTAAGTGACAAGGGAGCTACAAGTGACCCGAGAGGTGACAAGGTCGTCCATGAGGACGGTGCGCAGTGTGCAGGAGGGAGGCGGTAGAGCGGCAGAGCGGTAGATCTAGCCTACCTGCTGGCCTGGCATGGCATGGCATAGCATGGCATGGCATATGCTGGCAAGGTCTGGGGCTGACATCTTGACCCATCGAGAACAGCACGGCCATCGTGGGCGTGTCGATGACGGCACGGCCGCACGGGAGGCAATGCTGGGGCCGACAACCAGGGCCCAATTGGTGTTCTGGTTGCGAAGCCCCGCTAGCACCATACCCAAGGCTCCCTTGTCCGTCGTTGTTGGCGCTGGGAATTGGAAGGGATTGGATCGACGGAAAGTGGTGCCAGTGACTCCAAGCGACTTGAAGCGACTCCGTACAAGCCGAGGACCCACGAAGACGATGAGGTTGGTGGATGAGCTCAGGAGAAAGCTCCCAAAGGACCAGGCCATCAGGCGAGTTGTCAGGAATGGAACTCGACAGGCCTGCCGAGAACAGTCAAGGAGCAGCGAGAACCTGCGCCGTTTAGAGCTCAACTTTTCCAGCACATCAGTCACCACCTGATAGTGAAAGAGTCCGTCACGGGCGCCAGTCCAGATTCTCCCATCACGACGGTTGGGGGGGTTGGAACTCCATGCAGCGACCAACAACCAATCTTTTCGATACCCGGACGCTATTGTTTTTGTTGTTGTTGTGACTTGTGAGTGAGGTTTTGAGTGGCACTCCGTCGGCAAGCCGCCTTCCTGGTAATGAATGCATCACAACTGGATCATCACTCTTGGTAGGGCATCGCCTGCAGGCAGCTACAGACATGCGTAATCATGCGCGTCCGGCAGCGCAGCGGGCCCGGGCCTTGGATGGATGGACAAGACACCAGACACACAGGACGACAGTTGGTCTTGCATCCCATCACAACCAAGGATCAGGTCGATAAGCTACACTACTAGCGTAGGTAGTGAGTACAGGTAGAGGTAGTATCAGGGTGCTGCATCCATCCAGTACGGGGATTGATTCACAGGGTAACTCGCAGGGTAGGGGTCTCGCTTTCCCGGGGTATCACTGATATTTGCAGGGTGGTGGTGATGGTCGTTTCCGGGGGTTGTAGTGTACACTACACTACTGCTGAGGGAGGTCTATCCGAAGACACTGGTCGTGGATACCTCCAACGAACTTGGCCCTGCTGCTGCGAGACGGGGCGTTGCGTCAGAGAGGTATTCATTCCATTCCATGTACACTACAGATGACCTACCTCCTTTGCTTCAGCACGAAACATCGGTTCTCCTTTTTGCTGCTATTGCTCATTCCGGAGATCCATCCATTTGTCTTTGTTGAGAGTCATGGTTGCTCGCGTGGCCCATCTCCCGGCCTCAGATGCACCTACCTCGCTCCCGTCTCTGCCCGGGTTCCCGGCCACGTCTGCATGTTTTGGCTTTTCGTCGTCTTGGGAAGCGTTTACTTGCAGCAACAACAAGCCACAGCATCTGGAAAGCAACAAATCATCGTTAGCACCGATGCCGGTCTCACTGCTTTCTTGTGTCGAAGTGGCCATATTGTAGACGACGTTCCAGGCAACTTCCAGTGGAAGAAGACGATTAGGAGATCCAGACCAACCCTACCAACACCGCCACAACAGATGCTATACCAACATCATTTTCCAAGTTGTCGCTTTTGGGAGATTTTGTCGTTTTTCTACTAAACAGCCCGAGATAAGAGAGATACTAAAAGCCGTACATCCCGTCCATACCCACAAGTCCGTCTAACATGTGCTATCTGCCTCGCAAATTCGATCCCCAAGCCCAATCCCAAGCTCAAGCATTTGATTTTATGCCTGGCCTTCTGTGTACCATGTGCAACAAAGACGTTGACCGGGTCTGGGTGGCTATACTGTGTGCGCCAACATTACTAACATTCCAGAAGCCTCAGCGGTCTGGACGGATCGATGTTGAAGGTTCAGATGCGGCTCCTTTGTCTGTTGTTGGTTGATCGATCTACTGCGTCCACCTAACATCCGTCAGCGTCAATAGGCCATTTGGTCAGGCCAATAGACGCCATCCCGTCGACCTGCTCTCAGATCAACAACATCTTGCCTGCATCGACAAGAGTACGAAAAAGATGCCCGGGATTTCGCATGCTCCCGCCATCAAGCAAGTATACACTACACATGCATAGTACACTCACTGCCTCTACCTAGCAAGCGATCAAACCTCTTAGCCCCTCAAACCCCTCTCCTCCATTCATCCTCCGTATCACATCCGATCCTGGGTCCCAGATTGCCAGCATTTGCCCATGCTCCCTTACACCGCTTCCGGCGGCCGGCGCATGTCTCCAGAGAAGGAAGCATCTCCCCAAGACTCCAGCCCCCCCACCCCCATCGGAGGAGGAAGACGTGAGCTCGTTAGCGCACCCCAGCTTTCTACACTTGCCACATTCACTGTTGCCATTCAGGAACCAGCACCGCAAGTGACTGTTGCCGCCTGCATCCAAGAGATTGCATGTCACTGTCACAACCGCAATGCCGACGAATTGCCAAAGAACACGATGGCTCCCTCTAATACTGCGTACCCGACGGCGAGTGGATAGTGTTTGCCGTTCTTGATGCGTAGGGGGGCTTGCTTGCTTCTCCCTGACTGCTGCTTGTTCGATGGAATCCTACCTGTCGTTTATGAAGGTGCACTTGTCCATGTTTTTGGCTACTCTCATGACTTCCCGAACCTCCATGGTGTTGGAAAGCGACACAATCAAGAGCCTAGACGCTTTCATGGTATCTTCTCCCGGGTCGTTGACTCCGGCGCGGAGCACGGAGAGAACTCGATGGCAGGGTGCCGCAGAGGTCCTCTTTATCGGTGCGCTCATCCACGTTACCACTTCATTTATAACACAAGAACCGTGTGGCTCTTTGGCTTGCATCAACAACGACACGTCGCGTGGCTTTTGTCTCACCATCTTGCTATGATTGGAATAGCTCCGTGACTTACAAACACCGCATGGTATGGCGTGAAAAACAAAATACTTTCATGGCAAATCACCTCTTGTCGCGCACTTCTTGATCTCCAAGGTCCCCATCAACTCATCGTGCGAGACATGTCTTCTTTCGCCTCGTCACTTCAGCCTGACAAACCGTAACGACTAGATAGTTCGCCACAGCAAAACAATCGTAGCCGTTTTCTCCGACTTGCCCAATACTAGCCAACCCGCACATAGCGAGGCCAGGGCAGCGGCATGCAACGCTTACTTTTCTTCCGACTCCTTGAAATACGGTGTGCATTGAGAGAGTTTGGATAGTATCACAGTCTGGCACTACTCAAACTGACCCAGATGGCTTTTACATCGATGAAGCAAAAAGACACAAATTGACGGCTTTGATTTAAACGCATTGCAATCAATGACTATTCCTACGACATATCGACGACAGCACGAATGCAGTCGCCCTGATGCATGACCTCAAAGGCCTCGTTGATCTCGGCCAGCTTCTTGCGGTGGGTGATCAACTCGTCAACCTTGATCTTGCCGTTGAGATAATCCTCGACAAGACCGGGCAGCTGAGAGCGGCCCTTGACGCCACCGAAGGCGGAACCCCTCCAGACACGGCCGGTGACCAGCATGAACGCTATAGGATGATCGTACGTTAGCATTATTGAGCATATAATGGCTAGCAGGGGAACGAGTTGACGCATAGAAGAACTTACGCCTGGTGGAAATCTCCTGGCCGGCAGCAGCAACACCGATGATGATGCTCTGACCCCAACCCTTGTGGCAAGCCTCGAGAGCAGCACGCATGACCTTAACGTTGCCTGTGCAGTCGAAGGTGTAGTCGCAACCACCGTCGGTCAGCTCGATCAACTTGTCGACAACAGACTGGCCCTCGGGGAGGGTGGACGGGTTGACGAAGTCAGTGGCGCCGAACTTGCGAGACCACTCCTCCTTGCTGGGGTTGACATCGACAGCGATGATCTTGGAGGCGCCGTTGGCAACAGCACCCTGGATGACGCTGAGGCCGACGCAGCCGGCGCCGAAGATGGCGACGGTACTGCCCTTCTCGACGTTGGCGGTGATGGTGGCGGCGCCGTAGCCGGTGGTGATGCCGCAGCCGAGCAGGCAGGTGCGGTCCATGGGGGCCTCGGGCTGCACAGCGACGACCGAAATGTCGGCGACGACGGTGTACTGGCTGAAGGTGGAGGTGCCCATGAAGTGGAGGATGTCCTGACCACGGGCGCGGAAGCGGGAGGTGCCGTCGGGCATCACACCCCTGCCCTGGGTGGCGCGAATCTTGCCGCAAAGGTTGGTCTTGCCGGACTTGCAGAACTTGCACTCCTTGCACTCGGGGGTGTAGAGAGCGATGACGTGGTCGCCGGGCTTCACGTTGGTGACGCCCTCGCCGACGGACTCGACGATACCGGCACCCTCGTGTCCGAGGATGACGGGGAAGGCGCCCTCGGGATCCTTGCCCGAGAGGGTGTAGGCGTCTGCATATCACACCATGTCTTTGGTTAATGCGACTGCGAACTGCACGGAAGCCCAACCGAGCGAGCCATCAAGGTTCTTGGAGTGTGGGTGAACTCACCCGTGTGGCAGACACCGGTGTGCTTGATCTGAATTCTGACCTCGTGGGCCTTGGGCGGAGCCACCTCAACGTCCTCATAACTGAGCTCCTGGCCGGCGCCCCAGGCGATGGCAGCCTTGCAAGTGATGGTCTGCGGAAGATGGCAATCGGATCAGCACATGGTCCCTGATGAAGCAAACTCATCTCTCTCTGACGATGTGAAGCAAAGTCCTTCTGTCCTCCTAATCGCAACGCTGCTCTCCAAAGAATTGGAGCAAGCGTATATCGTGCAGGCAGCGGAGCTTGAGCTTCAGCTTGAGCTTCTTGGATATTCTCTCTTACCTTTCCTACTGTGGATGCCATTGTGTCTGAATGTGATGAAATGTAGAATCCAAAATCAACACAGAGTTGAAATGAAGTTTGAAAACAGGTCGAGGCAATTTACATGGCAACAAGTCGACGTCTTTTGGAATGATGACAAAACGGAGCCTGTTTAGTTCCATCAACCGCAGCGCCGACCCCGCCTTCTAAAAGGTGGGGCACTGCCAGGTGGGCAGTTCCCTTCTGTACGGTAAAGGTACCGGTTAAAGGAGATCATCGATGGATCGGATCTCTGAGTGAGAGGAAGTGTTCTCTTGGCTTCCAGGCCTCTTTCCTTCTCGTACACTACATAAGGATACACCGCGTACAGTCAATTCGGTGACGAGGTAGCGCTAAAGGTCTCGGGAAGTGTTTTTCTCGCTTGTTTATCCGACATGGTTTTCGGTGATTTCACGGCATCTCGGGGATTCCTGTGGCTTTCTAAGCAACGTGTTTGAGTGCTTATCTGACTGGAGCCTATCAATGACATGCTCAGCTATATCGGATACGCAGTATATATCAACACTCCAAATGCCTTATCGACTGGAAAAGGCTCTCGCTCTCGGGGAGCTCGCTTTGCTCCCTCGGCCCGTACCTTTCCCTCGGCACTTTTCTTACAAAAGAGTACATATCAACTCGCCAACTCTCCATTGACGGTCACTTAACAACCTCAGGGCATGATGTTGGATTCTCACCCACTTTGATATGTACATTCCTTCCAATCTCTTCCCCTCTACTGTTTGCAGCGAACTATGTATAGCGGGGTCTCATCCCGCCTTCCGTGAACTGCTCTGTGCACGCTAGCGCCTCACATAGAGGCTTTGACAGATCGTCAGATATGTCTTCAGAATTACGTGATTGAAGATTTCGTCTCGCATGTACATTTCGCCTCAGGAAACCCCCCGTACCGCTCAACAGGTGCCAATGGGCCGGCCGCCGAGAGTCGAGCTTTCGGGTTACATCTCTAGCGGCTGGAAATAAGTATTGAATCGTAGGAGCTGCTATGTCCGCCAATGTCACATTATCGTCCGCAAAGTAATACAATCACGGCAATCACCTCTGACCACGACTCGACGTTAAAATTGTCTTCGAGGTACACTTCATCTTTCCCGGCTGCCGACCATGTGTGATGAGCTATTCCGAGTCCGCAGGTTATGGTCCACTAACTACCTAACCTTTATCAGAAGTGAGGTCGACGACGACAGTACGAAGTGATGACGGACAGGAATTGGTAGCGGTGATACATAATCCAGGTCCATATTGTGAGAAAACAATACTGGAGTCGGTGAATTGTTTAAGGCAGGGAAATAGCTGCGACTGGTATGGGCAATATAATCTGAAATATAGGTCAACCCCTCACCTCTCCTCATTTTTTCCTCGTCGTTCAAAAACTTCGTTCTGTCAAGCCAAGGATTGTGCAGCCGCCTTGTGAAGTTCGTTGCCTCCAGGCTCAATTACATGTGACGATACCGAAGCTTTGTCTCTCGCTATCCCCAGCGATTTCGCCTGATCATATTGTCTCTCGGCGTCAAAAGTGTCGAACCAAACAGTTCTCGACAAAACAGGCCCTGTTGAGCTTGTGAGAGTTGAAGACAGACGGTGACAAGCAACGTGGAGCATGTTGCTATGAAGACCACTTTTACTCCTAACCCTAGGTAGGTACTCAAGAGGCACAGTAGATCAGCAACACTGCAGTGTCACAACCAATGACAACACATCAGTAAGTATCTCACATGGACTTCGCCAGTTCTAAATCATCCTCCACAAATTGAAGAAGGCAGAAACGACCACGAACTCATACCTTTCTAACCATATCATTGTGTTCCACTACCAACCTCCCAAAATGGTCATCCCCCCTCCTCCTTCCCCGCTCCCCGAGTTCGTGTACAAGATCACGGTCGAAGCCCCGCCCAGTCCGATTCCCGAGTCCTACCCACTGTCGGAGCTGGACCAGAAAGATGGATTTGTGCATCTGAGCACCTCGTGGCAGGTACGTTCTATCCTCTCCACTTCATTACATGAACGCGCTAATCCCAGCTTTCCAAAACCACAAAGATCCCAACAACAGCCGGCCTCTTCTTCCAAAATGAGCTCTCTTTCTACCTTATCAAGCTTCGCCTGGCCAACTTTGACCAGGCCAGCGTCAAGTGGGACGAGGTCGAGGATACCAACGGGTGCCCGCACTTGTACGGCAACTTTGGGGCTAAGGATGTCGTTGACGTGAAGGAGTTCCGCCGTGAGGAGGGCGAGACGTGGGGTGAGGTGTTTGAGAAGGAGGAGGCTAAGGCTTGGTTGGTATGATGAGAGGGGGCATCGGAGAAGGGAAAATATAAGGGGGGAAAGGAAGGAAAGAACAAGAAAAAATTAAAATTGAAAAGCGACTCATGAGACGTTGAATTTCAACTGGACTCGTCTGTTCATTCATTCGTATGACCTATTTACCCTGAAAGTTTCCCCTCTGGCTATCTTTATATAAAACAAATGCCTTTTCAACAGTGCATCCCGACATCATCTCTCCAACTTAATCCTTGCCATTCCATCCTCCACTTTGACTCTACCGCCGTGTTCCGTTTTCACATAACCGTCTTCCTCCTCCTCGCCTTCATCAGCAGCCTCCCTCTTCACCCTCACAGGTTCTTGCTGCCTTTCGACAGTTTCACTCTTGACGACTGGCTCGTCGACTTCCTCGTCCTCGCCTTGCTCATCCTCAGCCTCCTGTTTCAACTGCCCAACCTCTCGCTTGACAATGGTTGGGCCATTTTGGCCCTCCCGTCCCTCAGGGTCACCGAGGTTAGGTTCTTGCTTTACCATCGTGCGTTCCAGCAGTGGCTCCCTCTTAGCTAAACGTGCCCGCGCCTGGTGGCCCTCCGCGTCCTCATTGTTGAGGTTCGGCTCCGGCTTGACAATCGTAGCTCCATTGAATGATTCTCTCTTCACAGTGCTTGAGCGATGGTTTTCTTCGGTTTGCTTTGGGATACATGACTCCTGCTTCACCCTCGGATGCTCGGGCTTTACAGCTTGTGGTTGAAGGTCGTCTGCTTTCTCCTCGTCGAAACCAGGCTCCTGCTTAACGGTCGCCAAGTCCCGTCCGGGTTCTCTCTTCATGATGCGACGTCGATGTGCCGATTCCACCTGCTCGCCGTGGATGTTTGACTCCTGCTTGATGCGTACGTGTTCTCTTTTGACGATGTGCGGGAGCCGGTTCTCTTCTTCTTCCCCAGCGCCCATGTCATGAACACTCTGTTCCTGCTTTACCCTAAGAACTTCTTCCTTGACAACAGATGTTTGGTCAGCCTCTTCACTGTCCTCTTCCGCGTCGGCTAACCTCTCGCGCTTCACCCTCATACCTTCTTGCTTGATGATGGGCGGGCTGTGTTCAATGGTCGACTGAACCTCATCGGCGTCTTCCATCTCAACATCCTCAATGCTCTCCATCTTCACAGCGTCATCCGCAACAGCTTCCTGAGTCACCGGCAGTACAGGCTCGTTGACCACAACATCCCTGACCCTGGCTTCCTCCTCTTCTTTGATCTCCATTCTTGCCTCTCTCTTTTCCCTCTTGACTACCATGTCCCGCTCGTCTTCCTCGTTGTCACCCTCGTCTTTCGGCTCTCTCTTGAATCTCACAACCTCGGTCTCCACCTCCGCCTTCTCCTCCTCAACAACCGCCCTCCTCTTTCTACCCTCAATAACCTTTTTTCTCTCCGCAGCTTTACACAAGCCCCTTAGGCCCAGCTCGCAATCACCGCATTTCCTCCCCACGGGAAGACATATCGACTGTCCGAACCCAACCAGCAGCCAGTTGATCTCCTTCCACTTGTCACGGGGCAGCCACGACTGCAGCGCAAGGCGAGTCTCCTCGGGGGTTTTAGTGGGCGGATTCTGCCAGCCCCAGAGGTTGGTGATGCGGTGGACGTGGACATCCACACCGATGCCTTCGACACGGTTCCAGCCGTTGTCGGCGGACATGCAAAGATGCGCCATCTTGGGCCCAACGCCGGGAAGGGACATGAGACCTTCGATGGTGTCGGGGATGTCGGAGTTGTATCGGTCGCGGAGGATTTCGGCGGCTTGTTTGAGGTATCTATCACAGTAGCTCATAAGTATATGGACCCTTGATGTGAACAAGAGGACAGTACGTACTTGGTCTTGTTGTTATGGAAGCCAACCTTGCCAATCAACTCGTTCAAAACGGCTGGCTCAACAGCCAGCATATTCTCTAGGTTCAGGCCCGGCTCCGCGCCCTCGGCGTGGGGAGGCAGCTCCTTCTTCAACCGCAACATCGCCTCCGCGTTGACTGTGTCTTTGGTCTGGCTTGACAACATCAGGGCAACAAGAGTGTGAAATCGCCGATCGCGTGCTGATGCGTTATTGCTGGCCAAGCGCTCGCATCCCATCGAGTCGACGGCGGCGTTGGCGGCGGGACCGGAGATGCGCATCTCCTTGACGAGGTTATAAACCTCCTCCCAGTCAGAAGGAGGCTCGACTTTCAGTTCGCCGGTGACGGCGTCGGTCGTCTTGCGGGCGGGTTTGCGAGCGGTTCGTTTTCTGCTGGATGTAGTAGACGTGCCCGCGACTGGGATATCGTTTATGTCGATCTCCGAATCCGACTTTACTTCGGCTTCTGCGGTTTGGTTGATAATTCGCGTGCTCCTCCGTTCGGTTTTGATCCTCGTGGGGGCGGGCAATGATTCCTCCTTCTTCAGCACTGTTGTAGTGGTTGTGGTGGTAATGCGCTTCCGTTTTCGCGTGCCAATCGGGTTCCTGCGCTTCACCTTTGGTGATGGCAAGCCACTGGATTTGACAGCGTCTTCTATGTCCGATCCAAAGGTAACTCCGGTTTCGTCTTCCTCATGGTCTTCCTCGAGCTTCGTGGCGCGCAATGGCGAGGATCGTAAGTCAACCGGCGCAGAACTCGAGCTGGCATTCGCATTCGCATTGTTCGCTTCATAGGCAAATCGAGCAAGAGTGCTCAGACGCGTTGAGCGACGTGGTGTTGCTGGCGTTGCCATGGCGGCTGTTGTTCCCTCGAACAACCTCGATGTCTCCTTGGCTATGCGCGACGCCCTCATCGGTTGATTGATGACCGTGATTGAACGATGAGGAGGCTTTGCCTGTTCGTCTGAAATTATCTGCTGCTCCGCGCGGCCATGGTTGGATCATACAACTGTTTGGATGCGTGTGGCCCGGGGGGACGCGTGCACCTTTATGGCTAGCTTGTATTGAAAGGCAGACTGGAATCAGATGAAACGCCGAAACAGGAAGCTCGAGCCATAAAGTACATACTGTGTAAACTCGAAGAGCAAATAAAATAAGTACTGTGGATCCTCGCCTGCTATACGTAGTACATACTACGCAGTACACTACGTACGTAGTGCTGATTCGGTCAGACAGGGCACCAGGTTCTTTTGGGATGCGAACTGATATCATTTCAATGTTTACACCATGGGCTGTTTCTCATCAAACGTGCGGACTTGAAAGTAACTTTGATTCTGGGATCGCTACGAATGTGTGAGATATCCTGTCGCCAGTCTAAGAACAAGCCACTCGCACATCTTCCTTCTCCTTGTCTAAAGGCCAGTCTAAAAAAAAGAAAAAGAAAAAGAAAAAGCATGATGTACATACTTTTAAAAATAAATGTTTCGTGAATGATGAAGAATCGCTGCCTCAGAACGCCGCGCCATCCAGGCCGAAGATGACCTTTTCCAAAAGTCTAACTAAAGAGTCAAAAAGGGACTCAAACAACGCTCGCTTCAAATCAGGAACTCCTCGTTCACCCAGTGGCTGAGCACTACCTTGCCCTCTTCAAACGTAGGCTTTTCCATCCGCACAATGATGGCAGCATGACTGTGTCGATCATTGTGAATCCAAACAGGATACTTACGCCAGCCCAGTGCATCCAAGGCGTTGATGGCAGCAAACTGATATGGCGCCAGAGCAAGCGTGGGCTGATGTGGGTGTGACTGTTTGCGCTCGAGCGCCAAAATCTCCTGGTTGGAGGAATCGTCCGTCTCTTCGCCGGAATCGCCATCCGACAGTCCAAGATACTCCTGGTTTTGAGAGCTGTTTAAGTCTTCATACGCATGTTCAACAGCTTCGCGCATCTCCTTGATCCATAGGTCCACCCGGTAACTCTCAACGTCGATTCCCGCCAGGCCCTTTTCGTGTAACATCACTCTCTTGGAGCTTCGTACCGTTTGGACCGCCGAATTGATAAAGAAAGCGACCAATCCCAACGGGACAAAAACCGCTACGGCCAAGATAAAGGGCACCCTGTTTATCCATTTCTTCAGGTTGGCAACAAGCGGTTCCTTCGGCTTGGGTGGCGCGGGGGATACGGGGTTTGTCGGATCTAGAATAACAGGCTCGTACCCCTTGACGTAGTTGACTTTCACTTTGTCCAAATCGGTGTAAGGGTCCGTTTTCGCTATGCCGGTGGTGTAGTAGACGGCAGACCTGTCGTTCACGATATTTGTATAGAGGATTCGACGCTTGAACTTGGCAAGACCGCACATGAAAATAGATTTCGGATCCGCCAGAACCGCGAGAAGGGGCTTTCCCGTGTCACGAAACTGATCAATACCGAAAAGTTGTCTGCCTGACATGCACAGGGTACGCGCACCTAGTACGTTCCATACGTGGTTTGGCCAACCGCGAAGAGGAGTGCGCACCCCCAGAAATGGGCTAGCAAATGCCGTGAATGTCTAGCGCAAGCAATGTTAGCTCAACGTCTTGTTCTTTTTTTCATTTTTTTTTTCTCGTTCGGAAGTTCCATACCATGCACTCGAGGTTGTCCAGCACACCTCGCGCATAAAGAAGGCCGATCGCATAACGGGCCACCAGGCCGCCGAGGGAGTAGCCAGCGATGCTGATCTTCTTGATCTTTCCACCTTCGCTTTCGACAGCTTGGAGTTCCTCTTCGATCTCGTTACATACTCGTTCGCCGCCGAGCTCGATGCCATCGTAAGTAAACGATCCGGCGTTTCGCTTCGCTACGAGGATGTTCAACTTGTCGCGTGGATACTGAGATCGCAAAGCCTTCGCTACAGAGGCCATATGGTTCGGATTACCCCATAGCTAGTGTTCAGGTTGCGGGTCAGAGTTGGTAATTCTGCAAAGTGCCACATGGTTTTGGCGATCATTGCGCCATGCACGAGCACAGCATGGACAGGAGCGTAGGGTAACAGGACTTACACCATGTACCAAGACGCAGAGGTGGTCGGCCTCAACGTCACCACCGATATAATCCGCCATGGTTCGTTTATGGTCAGCGATCAGAGACCAGTAGATACCTAGATCGAAAAGAGGGTGAATGCTAACAGTTTGGTAGTTGTTGTGGTGCGTTACCAAAGCAATTTATTTAAAGGTCGCCTTTGCAGGGAGGGAGCTTGGCGGTGGGTTATCAAGGTGGGCGGCGTTACGGCGTGAATAGCGCAACCCCCTGAACAACAACCCAACAACCCGGAAATGTCCCTGCAAAGCCGATGGATAGTCTGGATGACGCTTTGGGCTGGTTGGTTGCCCGGCGCGGACAGATCGGACGCCGTCCCAAAACACCCCGCCTGGATGCGATGCTGCCACGGGATGAGTGGGGGGGCTGATACGGTAGGGCGCTGTGTTAGGCCCAAGCACTGCCCGCCCGGACAGCACTAATGAAACGTCCTGGAAGAGAGATTGCTTGTCAGCCCAAAGCTCATCAAACTGGGAAACGGGAATCAATATGCGCCCGCTCGATGTTCATTCGGACATCACGAGCAACCGCGGGCTCAGCTGTCCAGGTGGCAAATCATAAGCCCTTATCACGCGGCGCGGCGGCCGCGGACCATTCTCATGGGCCGCAAAGACCCCAAAATCCGCGTCCGAGCTCACCTCTCATGCTGTTTCACGGCATGGGGCTGTTTGGGTGGGAGATTTGTCGGTTATCTATGCAGGCGCAGCAACCGCAGTTCGTTCTTATTCTCGAACGCCGTGTCCGGCCACACGACCGTATGCCTGGAGAGATGACGACAGTGAGGTCGGTACATGGGCGATCAGCGCAACTAGAGGTGCCCCCTTCTCATCATCGGCGAGCTCATGTGCCTCTACCTAGAATAGGGACTGAGCCCGGTGGGGTCTTGCGCTCCATACGACGCTATATATCCGACCGCGGGAATATCCCTGAAGGCCATGGCCGCTAGAGCTGTCTCCTCACAACCCGGGGTTCAACGAGTCGGTCCTTCGACAACCAGATACGAAGCAGAAACATACAAATGGTAACTCGAAGCCGAAGAAGTAGAGGTAGGGCGGACTCTTTGTCTTTGGGGCCAGAGCCCAGGGAAGCCCGAGTGGCCAGGCATTCTCGAAACGAAGGTTGGATCCGATCTTGTGGCTCCTTTCTCTTCCCTTTTCTATTGACTTCTTTTTTTTTTGAGAAAGTCTTTTCGCACCGCCATGAAAGTCTTCAGATACCGCCGCCCCACCTCTCCCGCTGTTTCGACCAATCAAAATTGGTACATCCAGTCCGCTTTCATTAACTCCCGCTTTTAACTCTACTCTTCTCAATCCTTCTCGTACTGCGCCCGCCAAGCTCTCAGATTTCAAGCTATTATACCTATCTAAGATTTGTACTAGCCACCCTCGTACTATACTAGTCACCTCCAGCTCAATCTAATTTAGTGATTATTCTAGTATATACTTCGTCGTATTACTTTCTTTACTAAACTACACACATTACCACCTCGTTGTATTCAATCAATCCACTACCCCGCATATTACTAAATACCACCAAAGTAAATAAAATACTCTTATTTAATCGATGGTAAAGAATAATCTACTACTTTTCAATATATTTTCCTAATTAACTGTAATATAGATAACCGATATAGCGATTCCCTAGCCGATGGGCACGTATGACCGTAGCGCGGGTAACCCCAATCAAACAATTGACTTTACTTTTATTAATCCCAATTTAAGACCCCTAATAAATATTACCCTAACCGAACCCACCTTTGCCTAACTAGAGCTTATTAATATTAATAATAATGAATATAAGGACTAACCTAATAATAATAAAAACGAATTTCACTAACCCCCCCGCCGCCGCTACGAGTATAGTAACTATACCGTTTTTAATACCCAATACGATACCTTCAATAAGCTAATAATAGCCGTTTAAGCGTAGTTAAGAAAGTTTAGTTATAGTACTATAAAGGGTTAGTTTAATAATTTTATTAAAAGATTCAGTTATATACAATTCTATATTATTTACTTTACTAATCTCTACTGCAAAGCAATTAACTACTCTCATTCTTCTTCTATATTTAAATAGAGATACTTTTAGTAGGGGTATACTAAGGTATTAAAGTATAATAATCGATAATAGACTTTTAACCTTCAAAAAGGCTATAAATTTTACAGCTATTTACCTAATAAAAAGCTATTAATTTATTTAATATTTAAGGTTGAATATAAAATATTTATTACTACCTATATTGATAGATTAAGGATAATTAATTGCGAAATTACTAGTGAATTCAAAAAGAAATTTCTAAATATTAGGGGATAATTTATTAAACGGTAGTTTATTAACTTTTATTATAAACTTAAAAAGGAAGTATACACTAGGTATAACCCCTTTTAATTTACTATAAAACTACTTACTAAAAAAAGGGTCTACTTTAAGATTAATTAGTAAAATACCGCTAAAATTAAACTAATTACCCTCTTCTAAAGTAATTTATAGGGAGAATAAATATAGAAGGAAAATCTCTAGGTCTAGATGTACAATAATACGTATAAAACTAATAATAAAGGCCTAGTCTTTTTCTAAATTATTAGTATAGTAGGGGTTAGCTATACTTTTAATTACGGTTTTAGGCTAGTTAATAACGAGTAGTAGGAGGGATTTAATTAGCTTATAGACTAAATTAACGCTTATTATAAAGCTATTACCGCGAGCAAACTACAAATTACTATTACGGATTATAATACAATAATAAGGTTAGCTATTAAGCGAATTTATTACTAAGCGTAGTCCCAACTTTACATTTTTTATATCAATAAGAATATAGTATTAAATATTAAGTGCAAATAGAATAAAAAAGTCGCCGCCCAAATTATTAATATTTATACCACCCTTATACAAATATAAATATAGTAAGAAATATTGGTATCAACATTAGCCCAGCCTACGCTAGCATAACCTAACAATACAACGAATTTTAAAGAATTTAATAAAGAAGATTAGGAGGTAGTTAATAGCCTTAACCGCTTAATAAATAGTATAGATTAATTAGAACCATTATTTAATACTATAGAGTATTCTCAGTCTAGGCTTTATATCCTCTAAAAGTACGTTTATTATACTTATACCGTTAAAGTATTTAATACTGTATTTAAAAAACTCTATTACTATTTTGTATAATAAATAATAATTATTATATACTTAAAAGAGATATATATAATAATTAAGGAGGAGTGAGCTACTTATTATATTAATAAGAGGTTGAACTTTAGCTACCGTACTATATCGCTAATTAAATTAGCGAACTATACCCTAAAAAGTTATATTATTAGCGTTAAATCTTATAATTAATTATATTACTCCCTATATAATCTATAGTATACTAATTATCGTTTGATATAAGTAATAATACCGTCGTTACCACTGTCATATAGAGCTTCAAGCTAGTTAATAGTATAAAGTGTAATATTAAGGACAAGACCAAGAAGCAAATTGTACGTACTAAATACGAGTATTTTAATTAGCTATAGGTAAAAGAAGCTTGTAGAAAGGTATACTAGAGGGCTCTCAATAAGGTAATATATTAACGTTGTATTATACTTAGTACTATACTAATAGAAGCTAATCTAGACCCCGAAGAGTTAGAACTGTATACGGGCAAATTTACTACACAATTTAGTTTACCGTATTTATATATAATATTAGAATACCTTCTTAACCGATCTCAATCATTCGTACTCAATAAACTCAATTACTACCCCTACTAGTAGCTTTATAAATCCTTCAATAATAAGGGTAAATACTTAAAATATTAGGACTTTAATAAAGTAATAAAGTTAAAGGGTCGACCCTGCTATAATATACCTTTTACTCCTAATTCTCGTGCCCCCCAATTAACCGCGCCAATTAATACCCAAACTCCTCCATCTACAGCGCCAACTCAGCTCCAAACAATAATATTATAAGGTCGGGGACAGCTTCGCCTCCAACCTACCCGCGGCCGATAGTCCAAGGCAGGCTGTAACCTTATAATATCGATACGAATAGCGCTATCAATCTAATAAAATACATTTATATAGGAGGGTATTAATTTAATAATAGAAGATACAATAAATGCCCAACCTCCTACTCCGTCATAGAAGGGACGAGGCCGCCCGCGAAGCTCTATACAAACTATTTAAAAAAGAGGAGGTATAAGGGGAGGAAGCAATTCTATACGGGGTAAAGAAGGCACGAAGAAGGGGAGTACAAAGGGAGGAGGTACGCTAGCTAATACTCCAGCTAGTACTCAAACCCAATAAGGAAAACTCACTAGCAATTAGACTACTCAATTATATAATAGAAATCAAATAAATTATAAATATATAGATTAATATAAATTAAATACGATTAACTAATCACTTAATTGAGCAATTCAATTAAGTACGATATATGACTGTACTGCTAAACGCTTTATAAAGTGCGCTATAAAATATCCTATAAATTTAGTCTAGTGTGTATACTAGCTATAGTTTGGAGTCTAGGCTTGGTATGGCATATAAGAATAAAATACCCAGATTTCTAGGTGAAATTTATAAAAGAATACAACTGCAGAGTAGAGGGTGGGTCGCGAGTTGGATGCACCGATTTTGATTGGTCGAGACAGCGGGAGAGGTGGGGCGGCGGTGTCTGAAGACTTTCATGGCGGTGCGAAAAGACTTTCTCTTTTTTTTTTTTCTTTCCCTGAACATTGAAGCAAGCTTCGATGCTCTCTAGATCGCGGTGAGGCCGCAACGGCTGCTTTTCGAGCGCATTCAACATCTCCACAATGTGAATCTGGTAAATCATGAAACATGTGCTCTATGATAGTGACGGAGATGCATAGCGCATGCAACCTCAAACTTCACTTGGTGGGTGTTAGGAATTAGGATGGCCATGATACGAGATAACTACGTTGGCGTTCACTGGAGACTGGGAACTTGCCAAGCAGATCGAAATAAGGTTTCGTTGGTTCCGAGGAAGGATAAAGTAAAACATCCATCGAGATACCACAGAACCGTTCCTGTAGAATACCTCTCCCGCCTGGACGAGAAAGCTACCGATCTGAACCAAACATCCCAAGCGTCCCGGAATCGACCTCATATCGGCAATCTATCCTGTCCGAGAAACAACGTCTACATCTACTGATCATGAAACAGAAGGCAAAAGTCAAAACCCCACCCCCATTAATCATTACCTCGTCTCCCCAAACGCCACCACTTGTTCATCAGCCACGCTTTATTCATACCACCGTCGTAGGCCCTTCCTTATCCTGTTTCCTCTTTCCCTTCGTTGCCAACCTTGGCCAATAAACCCAAATAAACATAACCGCCAAGATCTGCAGCATGAACGCATTCACATGCATCTTGACATTCTTCAATTCTCCTCCCCTGTTTGGACCTGACCCTACTTGCTCTTTCCCTTTCTCTGACCACCTCTCACAAACCTCCAAAAACAACTTTGGATCATCCGTGATGACCCCATCCACCCCCTTCCGTATCCCCCATTCCATCCACCGTTCCTCGTTAACCGTCCAGATGTAGAGCTTCCGTTGCGCCTTGCGGATCTTGCTGATGAAGCGGGCGCCGATGGGACCGACGAGCATGTGCTGCATGAGGTTGAAGTCGACTTCGGAGTGGGCTTCGGAGAGGAAACGGGAGGCGTAAGGGAGGGAGAAGCCGATGTAGGCGAATCGGTAGGAGGGGAAGTAGGATTTGGCTACGTTGATGTAATTTTCCTTTATTTTTAAAGGGGTATAAGTAAGTGAGACGCAGAAAAAAAAAGATTAACGATGAGCAAAAATTATCACATACATTCCAGCAACCGAGGACTACTCTCTCTTTCCAGGCTCGTGTCGTCGGCACAGATTCAATCGTTTTGACTGTGGTGCTCAGTAAGACGTCCGGATCATCGTCGATCTTGAACATGATATCTCAGCATTAGGTACCATTCATTCGGATTCACGCTGAGAAGAAGAAGAAGAAGGCCGTCAAACTCACTTTGATATCCAACAACACCCACACTGACTCTAAACCAGGTTGCCCTAGATACTCTAGCAGATCTTGCAACCTCGGGATTGATTGCTGTGGCTCCCTGATAGTCCTCAACGTACTCAAGTAGCCCCAGTCACACTCCGAAACCTTTTTATCTATGCCAAAACATCGTTTGAGGGACGGATCCTGTTGAACACACGTGCGTTAACACGGATGTCCTCACAACTTTACGTACTGAGGATGTTGGTGAAGGGAAACGAGGTAAAGAAAAGGACGTTAGAAAACATACATGTACAAGTACGACAACCCCATCTTTGGTCAAGTGCAAATCAGTCTCGATCGCATGTGCACCGACGTCCACAGCTCCTTGGAAAGCTCCCATGGAATTTTCGGGGAAAGCGGCTTTGTACCCACGATGCGCGATCGCTTGAGGAAACCGTGGTCCCGCAGGTTTCTGTCCATTGCCGTTGGCTGTACTGGTGTTTGATCCGGAATTGGAAGGGGTGCGAGTAAGAGGTTCTAGATGGGCGAGAGATAGGTGGTTAGCTTCGGGTTCTTGGTAGAAACTTAGTGCTCGAAACCTGACGAGATGTTTACCTGTTGCCTGTGGGGATTCTTCCCCTGAATGTGTCTGTAAGTGCGACATGCCCTGGCGACCAAATCGTTCAGGACCTTCCGACTAACAACGCTCGTTGCAAATGTTTGATCAAGTTCGCCCTTCACGGTATAGTTTTACTGAAAGTTGATCGTGGGAAGACGGGTTAAATGGCAAAACTAAGGGGTTCAAAGGTAAGATGTGGTTGGAAGGTTACCCCAAGAGAAGATCTGCCCTGAGTAGAGGTAGTATCGTTATTCACACCTCAGCCACTTTTACCAAACCAGCGGCAGGCAGGCAAGCGGCAACTCGTAGCCCTGGATCGACCCTACACTAACAGGCTTGGAATGGTGATCCTCGAAATTTTTACTGTGTAGGTTGAAACTCAGACACGACCTGGACAGTTCATCGAACTTGGACCACTGAGATGATAGAAATACTCTTGATTAGTAAAACTGTATGAAATTGTGAATGTTATGTTGTTGTGTTGTCCATTGTTATCCGCATGAACCCCTTCAGGACAATTGTTAGTGTCCTTGGCTCGATGAGCCGTCAGAGTGTAGGAGGTTTGGAGACGACCCTGCAGATCTTCGGTCGTCGGACACTTGAACCCGGGCCGGCCCTTACCGTGTCCGAGCGTTCGGTATGTTCTTAAGCACGCGTACCTGTTCCAGACTTTCAGGCCGGCCGGTAGGCATCGTTGCGGCCGGGCTACTCTTGGGGCCGCAAGCGGACAGAAACGGCGAGTAGTGTATAATGCATGCAAAGTGGAAAGAAGGGACATGCGCCCAGGTGGTCCCCTGGTCGCACTTCCCACACTATCGGTGTGATCCTGATCAAAGATCATGGCCACTTCGTCAATCATAGGTATGTCTTTTCGACACGCGAAAACACAGAATTCTTCTCTATCGTAGAGGGAGGAGTGCATAGTGTACTTCATACAGGGCGGCAAGAAGTCGGGATTCCAATTGCAACAATGCTTGGAACCTCCTGTTAAAGTGGCACCAGGCATAAATGACATCACGCCGTGGAGTCTGCGTATGTATCCCCAGGGGGCTCCAGCAACTCTTGTTCACCTCGATGAGGCTCCTTCTCCGCTCTCATCATTAACACCTTTGACAAGCTCGCTTTTTCGAGCTGCGTTCCCGTCCCGCTCCAGGAATTGACTCCATTCCACACAGTGGACTTAAAGTCAACAAAACAACTTGAAGGGAACAGACATGGCTCCTCTTTTTCTTATCTCTACAGTATGTAGTTAGTGTACGCAGTACACTAGACTCCACCTGTCTCTCAGATGCGGAAGGCTGGGAGCTTGAAACATGACAAGTCGCAAGAAGCCCTGTTCCTGGCACGGCGCCGGAGGGCGAGGCGGATACTGTCAACGAGACTCGTATTGCCACCTTTTTCTGTCGTCGATGTGCTTGATAAGCATGGCAGTCGCTGCAGAGACAGGCCGTACTTCGTGCGATTGTACGGTGAGGGTCGACTGAATTCCACGTTCATTGAGGTGTACTCCGTAGTCCGCTGTCCGAAGTCCGCTGTCCGGCGCCGGCTTACACTACAACTCTGCCGGTCCTGGCGATCAAAAAGGCTTGTTTTATTATGCGGATGTTCAGGGGTTCATGGTAGAGGCGACATGACGCGAGGCGGCAAGCGAAGCAAGAACCAGCCTGGCTTCTTTGCCCTTTTTCCTAGAAAATAAAATAAAGAAATTGGAAAAATAAAATTAAAATAATGAACTGATCCCTTGAACTTGACTAGAGATGGACTATGGCGGTGTCGCAAGTCGTCGTTATCAGTCCTTCAGCAATACAGTACACAGTTTGGATATCGAAAAAGAAGAGCCCAGTATTGCCGTCGGTACGCCTATCCTGTCCCCCAGATAATGGGAGGGCCTCATGTTCCACTTCAGGCTAAAGGCGTGCGCGCGCATCAGAAGGCATTACCCGTCTTCTGGGGTACTCTACACACGTGTGAAACGGGCGGGAATAATCCATGGCATTAACATCCTTCTCCGGGCATTTGGAAGCCTCGGCGAACGACCGATCAGAAGCAAGTCGAGAACGGGTTTGCTAGGGCTCGGATGTCACGTCAAATGCGACTTGGTCTGTAATATCTTTGCATTCTACCAGTAATATGACTGGGGAAAGGGTGAGAATGGCAAGTATCTCCTATCAAATAGCGACTATGATCATCCTTGCCTGTCAATATCGTGTGTGCTTGGTACTCAGGTAACATTTGACGCATCCCGCTCTACAGCTAAAGAGCTGCATAAACAAACAGCGGGAAAAGGGACTGTCCATAGGAGTGTGAAAGCACATGATGACGATAATCCCTTACTTTCTCGCCACCCCTGCTCTAGGCTCGCTGCAACACTCGCGACTGCTGTCAAAGCCGTCGTCCGCTCAATACACTATCTGACCTCGGTTGATTTCCTCTCTGTCATGTAACCTGGCAAATTTGAAGCACTCCCAGAAACTCCATATCCAAATGGAAGAAATAGTTTTCCCGGCCTGTACCCAGTCATAACCAAAAAGTATCGTGAGAACCCGCGCCTACCAATTCCAAGAAATATTCCTATTGTCCACCAGTGTCGTTAGAGTCCATACCCATGTAATCCATCCAAAAGGAAGTTGTTTGTGCCCGCTGACGTCACGGGCAATAGCGTGTTGCGGTAATCCATATTTCCGTTGTTCAAACCCATGTCACCGGATGGAACATCATCGCAAGAAGAAATACTTTCTTCACTCAAACTGAGAACGCTCTGTGCTGTTGGAGCGCCTGGTACAAAGTCACCAAGATTAAACGATGACATATCCCATGGATCTTGCCCCCATGCCGTGGCTGACGAAGGTGTAGCAGACGCAGGTGTCTCCAAGGGTGCCAAAGCTGGACCCCCGTAAATTGCAGTATACAGACTGACCGGGCCACCATCCAACGATCTTACCAGTGCTTCCCACTCAGCTGTCGACATGCCGGTTGATGTCTTCTGCGGGAACATTTGGCCTTGCTGAGAGTGAGAGGATGCTATGGAAGAGCGTTGGTGTTGTTGTTGGTGTTGTGGTGGTGGTGGTTGTTGTTGTTGTTGTTGTTGTTGTTGCTGGGGCTGATGAGGTTGACTGCGCATCTGTACCGGGGAAACGGGTGACTGAGGTGAACTTAATGAAAGATAATCCAAGTTTGGGGTCGACTGTGTGCCAGTCGATGTGCGTCCCATAAGCGCAGCTTGGGCGACTTGGGCATGACTCAGAGAGTGGCGATGATGAGGTCGCATTTGTTGCGCTTTTTGCCGTAAGCTATCGAATGACGTTTGAGAACGGGCGCGATTTAGTTCATTTTTGTGCTGTTGTTGAAGTTGCTGATGTTGATATTGTTGGTGCTGAGGAGTCACAGCCATTCCAAGTAGCTTGTCCCGCTGCATGATGAGATCTGTCTCGCTCAAGCTAGCGCTAGAGTGACGAGCAAGGGTTGGTTGAGCACCGCCATCAACAGCTGGAGGTGAAGGAGATCCTTGCTGCGCCGGTGGTGTGGGCATACACGCCTCTGGAGACTGTCTCGGGGGTGTCGGCAAGGACTGGGGAAGCGATTCCTCGACGGTAACCAGCATTCCAGCGATCCTCTTAAAATCGTACGATCCTGGAGCGTTCACCTTGGTAACGATCTTAACAACGCCGTTGACCAGTTTCTCGTTATCCTTCAACACTTTGCTGTCGTGCTTGAGTCCCAGTGTCTGGTACAGCAACGCCATACCGCAGACGATCAAGATGTCTGCCTTATTCAGGCAGAAGGAGAAGGACATGGACCTCTCTTCCAGCAGTTGAACTATTTGCACAATGCTCTTACTGGAGTCGGCAACAGACATGAGTGCAGGAGCAGCCTTCGGGCCCAGGCTAGATGCAATAGCCGGCCGATAGATAAGGATTCGAGTATAATAATAGGCGAGGGCAAGAAGAGGAGACCTGCTGCCTGTCACATCGGTCGAGGGCTTGTCCTGCTTGAAGTTGAGCTTCAAGTGCTGCGGTAGGTTCTCAAACCACTCGGTGAGTTCTCCCTCAAGTGATGACATCTGCTGTAGCGACAGCTCGTACGAAGTGGCAGCCGGGTAGATCTTCTCAAGGACCTTGCCCAGGATCCGGGATCCTCGGAACAAGGCAAGTGCGCTGGAGATCCTGGTAGGTTCGCCGGGAAGGCTTGGCTGAAATCCCTTCTCTGTGACATATTCGTCGTCGGTGTCTGATGGGAACTCGGCGTGGACGTCTTCATCCTTGAGAAGCTTTGGAAGACCAAGGATAGCGGCAGAAAAGCTAGATCTGTTAGAAATTATCCATGCCTTGTGTGAACGAGTGCACTTACCAGTCAAGTGTGTACAGAGTCCAGAACACCTTCTTTCGTGTCTCGATAGTCAGGGCACCGAATGAGAAGCGCTTCTGGCTTTGATGTAAACCTAAGCGGTGAGAAAGTCCCACAGCAATGCCCTTGTAGTATTGCAGCCGCTTGTAGTCGGCCCGGACAGTGCAGTACATCAAAGCAAGGATGAGGCATTGGAGGGTAAGCATGGTGTTGTCCATCAAGACAGCCTCCAAAGACTTGTGCCATTGTGTCTCGCAAGCGGCCAGCTGCTGAAAGTCAGGCTGCTCACTGGACAGGCCGGCAATGCTAAAGACCAAGTAAAGCTGTGTGAGCTTGTGGTTGTTCTTGATCTTTTCAGGATCCGCGACGAATTCCTCGTAGACACGAAGGAAAGCGGGCTTGTGGAGAACCGGAAATAATGGCGCCCATTCTTGGAAGTAAACATTCACGCAGCGATCAGAAAACAGCCGAGGCGGTATCCTCATACTCTGAGGGGCCAGCTTTGTCGAAAGAGGATAACATCCCTGAATGTGCAAGAAGGCCTCTGGGTTGAAGTCGGTGCAGGACTTGCCGTTCTCTTGGATTTTACGCTTGAATGTTTCTGGATATGTGGTCAGTCATCAAGAATGCGGATCTTTCGGGAGTTGCTGGGGTGAGTGGGGAGACATACCGATAAAAGAGCGGCCACTGGAAGCGCCCATGAAGTAGGAGTCGGAATTCTCGACACCGAGCAACAAGGGCGATGCTTGGACGCGGAAAGTATCCTCTTTTGCCGGTGTGCCAGAATCCCTCTTTATCTCTGCTGCCGGAGTGCTTCGAGGTGGCTCGGCAGATCGGCTGCGATTGCTGTGCATCTTGGAAAGCATATCGAGCTTCTCGTCCTTCTCATCCAGCAAGTCCTTGAGTTCCCGGATTTCCGCCTCCAACGCTCGTACTCGCTCCTCGAGCGATTCTGTGTAGCCTCTGGGAAAAGCGCGCCTACTGAGCTTATCGCTAGTCTTGCACTCGAACCCAACATTGGCGCATTGCGAACAACACGGCCGGATCCCATCGCAGCGGATTTTTTTGCTGCGGCAGCGGTCGCAAGCCTGAGCGATGCGACTTTGTGAGCTGTTGCCCACCTTGATAACTTTCATGGGTAGAATGCCGGGCATTTTGGGCGCCTTTCACGCGGCCGGGATAATCCCGTGCCTGTCGATAGTCGATAATGTCGGTAAATCAAGTTGTGGGTGAAACGGGCAAGTGCTTGTGTCGAGGACGAAACCCAAGGTTGTCGATACAGCACCAGATCGTGGAATATAACCCGTCTTGGATCGTCACAAAAGTCAATGCCGAGGTTGATATGGTCGAAGAGAGTAGTGGTGAAGAAAAGGCACTTGGCGTATATGGTATTGACACGTTCTCACTGGTGTCTGTTCTTGACGTTGATTTGGTCGTAATCCACAGGCGAAGTTAAAGTTGAGGCGGTAGATGACTGCTTGTGTGGTGATGGATGTGGCAATGGTGGTGTAAGTCGAGGAACTAAAGGTGAAAAAAATCTAAGACAGAAGCAAGCCAAGATCTCCAAATCCTTCAAAAGTCAAGTCGGTCCAGTGAAAGGGGGGGGATTTGGAGAGCACGACAGGCGGGGCGGCGTGATTTAAGGATGAATTCCGTGGGAAGGAGCATACGGGGGTACATTGGTGAGTTCAGGTTGCTGTGAGCCAAGAGGGACGGAACCAGGGGGACAGGACTGGCTGGCGGGCCAGCGAGAAGCGTAGCACTGCGTGGCAGCGAGGCAGCGAGGGCGCGAGGAGGGTTGATGCCACGCTGAGGGGAAAAGCGGGCGGGAAGGAGTCCCTGGTCGTCCGTGGGGTATGTACTTGTACTCGGTACGGTACCGCTGCCTTTCTGGTGATCGGTGAGAACAGTCACCTCAACACTTTTAGTCGAGACGTACCCGATACTTACCATGCCATTACAAGATCTCTCTAATTCTATTTGCACAGCAACCTACAGTACCGACGTCGCAAGTACACTACGAAGATCCTCTAAAGTTGGAACCTCGAGGGTCACGACAAGGGCAGACGGGAACGTCAGGACGCTATCGTCCGTGACAGCATCTTGACGTTTAAGCTGCTGCCTCGACGCCGTATTTCTGCTAAGCCTCCGAAGATCAACAGAGAGTCCCAGTGTGAGACTGCAGGGTGGACAAGGCAACGGACGGTGTGGAAGTGAGGACGACTGCGCTACTGCGTAGCGATTGGGGCATGTCCATACCTTGACCCTGCTTACCTTTTGGGTTTACTTATCGACTCCATTTGATTGCCATCCCCTGGCCAAAGAAGAATCTGGGGCGAACAGGGATTTACTCGTCAAATCCAATGTATTGTAATAGATTCGCCAATCATCATGGCCGTTGTGAGCGAGAATCCACGGCATCCACTAGCCCCATCATCCGGTCCAGCCGACGAATCGCAGCGCTCTCGCAGCGGTCGCGAGGGACCCACCGGCTTCTATTTCTACACAGCAGCATACCTCCACCTGGCTCACAAAGATGGTTGTGGTCGGATTTTCAAGCGAGATCCGGGGCATCTCGGCGCCTCCTGGTATGAATGGGGCCACAGGGCTACCGTCAAGGAACGCCATTTGTTTTTTTTTGTTTGTTGCGACGGCGACGTGCGAGGGCTGGCGGGCGTTTTTGATGGCATCATGGCTGGCCTAGACCCTGTTGTCTTAAGCTGCATGGATCGTCAGGTCATGGCAGTTGTTGGAAGTAGCCACTAACGAGAACACTGACCTGCTTACGACCTAGAGACTAGCGAGGCCAAGTTCAAGATCATCCCGATCGGGCTGGGCACCAAGCAGTTTTGCTTACCGAAACCCTGAGCGAAATTGAAAGCTGCACCGTCATACGGCCTCTGCTGCGATACCACGGGACGATACCCTTCGTGGTTAGGACTCTCAGGAACCAGCCGGGGACCTCGCCGAACAGCCTCCTCTTTGAGTTGCGGCTTCGGTCGAGAACCCATTTTGTACATACATGGGCACCGATGGCTCGGATTAGGGATTAACCTCTTCGAGGCCAAGCGAGACTTGGTCCATGGTCCGCGTGACGCTGGATGGGGGCATTGAAACCTTAAAGAGACAGGGAACTCCTCGTGAATAGGATCATGACAACCATGGTATTCATGTCTTGGGATCAGCAGCCCTCTTCACCTTGCATAGTCGAGGACATTGTAGTTTGGCAAAGATATTCCGATGTTGAAACCATAATATGTAATAGGGACTAGGCGGCCAACTAGCAGTGTCCGTTGTCTTGGGTGTCAATGTGTGCGGCGGAAGAGGCGCGCATGTACCTACGCAATATTGAGCATCAAAAGGAGCGTTTCGGATTGGCTCCGGGACATTGAATAGTTTCCACACCGTCACCCAACCCAGATTCTCACAACTTGAGGGTCATTTGACTTCCACGCGCAACACAAAGCCTCTTTCCTGCGGGATACTTCCATATCAAAAAGCACCGAATATACGGTATATTAACGGACCTCTAAATAAACACCTTCTGGAGACATGAACAGCCTACTCCACTAAAAGGGGTCGCTGACGACGACGTGGACGTTTTGCGATCAATTCAAACTGCCCAGGGCTGGCCCACCGGCGGATCGTCAAGTGTGCTGGGTCAACTATGGTAACAGGGTCATTGAAACACACACAAGTCATAACGGAAACCAAAGAAATTTCGGTGAGCCATAACTATAGTCAGAAAATATGGAGAAAAGTGTCCGATCTTCGACGGTCACCGGTCTGCGTGGTGGTGGCTCACTTCGCTCTTATAAAAAGACGCGAGCGATGATGCATTAGGGGAAACCTAGGTACCGATGTACACAGTACTTACATATATGTACGTGTCACAGTACGCTCTGTATGGCTGTCACAGTCGCACACGACGGAACCTCCAAAGGATAAAGCAGTGCTGTGAGATGGGGCCGGCCGCCTCCACACAGCAAATACACTGGAGGTAAAAACACAACCTGGAACGGTGGGGCTGCACTGCATAGTATAGTCCAATGACTCCATTTCTGATTGGTTGAATGCTGCAGCAGGATCAATTTGTTCCACCAACCTTCCGTCTCTTTCAACCAAATCTGGAGTTGGTCTTCCCCGCATTTTGGTTGGGCAATGCCAAGAACGAACTCCAAGCGACGGGTTCCTCTCCTTTTCGCTCTCGATCGGGCAGTATATATCACCACTTTGATGAGTCGGACTCGGGCAAATCCAAGCAAACAACGAATCTCAAAAGACAGACTATGACAGTCCGGCGCTTCGTGGTGTTACATAGTTCTCGATAGCCAGGTCTCGGATTTACTCTATGTCGCCCATACACCGTCCGCAAGTTGGCGGAAACTCCGACCAGAGATCTTGCAGCGTAGACAGTAAAACTAAACTCACGAGCATCACCACCCAATCATTTCGCAGTCACATCACTGGCCAGCGCCCCGGTAACATATCAAGCTGCTCTCCCACTCATCGCCGAAATGCGGGGCAATATGAGATTGTGTGGTGGTCCCAGGCCTTCTGGGCGGAACCATTTGAGCGACCGGACATGGAAAAAGCTGGTTCAACAACATGCCTCGACATGAACTCGTGGTCATCCTGCGCCAGGAGCATATGTCTGGATAGTGTAGAGCTTGGGACAACCATGTTCTTAATCGCTTCATGTAAAATGTTCGTTCTCGTAATTTCTAATGGCTTCCCAGAGCATAAGATCGGCCTCAACACCGCAATCTCCTCAACTCTTGGCCTTGTCATCGCAGTAGTCTGGGTAATTTGCTCAATGCCTATTCCTCATTCTTCATTGACAGCCGAACATTACGGTGGCATCGTCGATGTACGTATATTTTGAGCTTATGGTTTGGTGTTTACACAATCTCCTCTCTAGGCCTACAAACCGATCATACCAAAACGAAATCTCACAAAGGAAACTTTCACAAAGAAACCTTCACGAAGAAACCTCCAGACACTTGGATCAGAGAGCATCACGATGCCTTGCAGTCTCCATTTCAAAAGTGTGTGGTTCCTCAACTGAAATCGTCGGGCTCATTGGACGCCTCCTCGCCAACTAAGTCAGATTCGGCAGTTTCCATCGATCCGAGATATGCCACCACGTTTTCATCAGCCAGTAGCATACGCCTCTGAATGTCATCTTGTCAGTTACCTTGCATGCCATCGCGTGAGGGGGAGACCCTGTGAGTTTGCGGGGGTGGATTCTCACCTCTTTCTCCAAGTCATCTATGACAACTTCTAGAAGATCGGTTTCGATCCTCCTGAGAAGAGAAGCAGCCTGGCGACACTCGTCCCTCATCAGGTCAACGTCGCCGATGGGGAGTGAAGCGAGATCCGCAAAAGACTGCGCTCTCTCAAGCTGCTGCTGCAACCGCTCCTGGACCACAGTGACAACGCGCAACTTGATAAGTGTAGATATCTCATAGTTCTGGATAAGGGTTTCAAAGTCCCCTATCCGGTCTGTAACGTCCTCCTCTCGCCAGAAAACACGGAGCTGTCGTCCACCCACACTGTCCTGTAGCACTCGGAAATCCAGGCCGTCCTCCTCGTTCACGCACATGAGGTAGGCGAATGGGCTATTCCATGACACGGCAGAGCTACCCTTGTCGCGAGCCACGAGAACTTTGGGCAAGTCCTTGAACGCGAAAAGCTTGGCCTTTGCCAAGGGGTCGTCCTCAAACGGCTCCAAAGGGAGCACAAGGCTCTCAACAGTCGCTTCCGGATCTATAAACCCGTAACTAAACAGCATCTCTGCAGCCGGCTTGGCATCGCCATAGCTGATAGTTACCTCCTCACCAGGTGAAATGCTGCTGTCTGGCCTGGGCAAAAGGACTACCTCGTCTTTGGCGTTTTCGTCATAGTAAGCCGACGCACGGGTCGAGTGGTTGATCATGTCTATGCATGGCACCATGGACTCCCCCGACTTCGGCAACTCGAGGACTCGAGACCGGTAAAGCGCATCTAAAAGAATCCACCTGCGTAGAGATGCCGAAGAATTGCCGTCTTCGTATGGCCACAGTATGTCGTTCCAGATCGGAAGGCTAGATGCGGCCTCCCGGACCGCATCAAACTCGGCAGTGATGGCCGTCATCTTTGCATTCACGGCTGACTCGAGAGATGTACCCCGGAGAAGTAGCCGCTCATCTTCTGTCCACAGTGTGGGCACGAGGACCGTTTTGGGTAGGAACTTGATGTACTCGGTCCATGGGTTTGAGACGCCCACTGGAGCTTGGTGTGTTTTAGAAGCCAGAACCAACTGGACAAGGAGAAATAATAATATATCCCTTCTGGCTGACTGTTGTGTGAGCAAGATAACGTCAGCTAGTTTCCCGGACAATGTCAATGGGGAAGGTCGGGAGTTCCCGGATAGAGAGGGGATGGGGGGTTGATCTGTGACAGCTCGCTCATACATGATGTCCAACAGCACCCAACAGTTGCTTGAAGTTCTTGTCTTCTTTGGCATATTCATCGACAGTTTGTACGTTGAGAACGAGGCTGTTTGGGACCGTCATAAGAGGAACCTCTGGTTTGAGCTCTCCATCCCTTACTACGCCAAAGCCTTTCCCTTCGATGTTGGCGACCTTGACATGCGGGAATGCGATGCCGTTGAGCAGAGCCCAAGCGGGCAGTGCCTCGATTGGGAGCCCAGGTTGTGCCATTTTTGTGAAAGACCGCTTGCTGTACGACAGGAGGAGAGGTGCCTTCCACCCTGCTAAGAAGTAGGTATAACTGAGAGTTTATAGAGTTTATTTAAAGTCAATCTACGAATCCAATCGTGCATGAGACTGAACCCGCACCGACAGAAGCAACTGCCGTAACAAAAGCACCCTTGTCGTAAAGGTCTTGTAAGATGGAGTAATTGTATGTACGACCGTTGAGATAGATAACCCTAACCCAAGACTCCCAGTTAGCAGCTTCCCAATGTCGCAACTGCCTTCTGGTGAGTACTCGTGCTCCGCCCCCACTTTTTTTGGATCTCGCCAAACTCGCACCAACTAAAGTTGGTGCTCACGACTGCAACGGCCACACCAGCGCAACGGCCAGGTTAGGGTTAGGGGTGCAATTTCGGGCTTGATTTATAGGCTAGAAATATGGTTTTTCTAATGCATTAATTTTCCTAAGCAAAACAATGCTTCCTATATATGATGCACTTTCCTAATCATACTCATAGTATTTTTCTCGTCTCAGTTGGTTGTTGTAATGAGTTACAAGCTTCCATTATCTTGATGCTTAACTATGCTCACTATGGTGGCCGTTGTGGTGGTGTGGCCGTTGCAGTCGTGAGCACCAACTTTAGTTGGTGTGAGTTTGGCGAGATCCAAAAAAAGTGGGGGCGGAGCACGAGTACCTTGTCTACCTCTATACACTCGTGCTGCCTGGTCTTGGCTTAAAGTCTTAGTGTACTAAGGATTCGTATTGGACATATTACTATAGTGATGAGGCAAGTAAACTAAAACAATGAACATAATGATAATATCGATAATAACAGCGATAGCAACAATGATATCGACAAAGATACCTAGGATTAACTTCAACTCAGTTATAGACTACGGCAGTAGCGTTTGCGTCCCGTCCAACGCGGGCGATCGTATCTCTTGTTGGTGGGGCTCATAACGAATTTCAATTTCGTCCTCCTCCACAATTACCTGGGAGCTGCAGCTGCCTGCTTGAAGTTGCCTTGAAGTCTTGAACAGAGCACGATACCAGTCAAGACCTTTTTGCCGCATTCAGCAATCACGCTACTAGGCTCAACACCTTCTTGAATCCGGACGGATTATCATAACTTAGCTCATCTGGCATATCCGATTACCGCCAATCGAACCAGAGCGAACTCTCCAAATGCCCCGAGATCCTTTAATCGGACTGGTCGGCAAACCGAGCGCTGGCAAATCCAGCACGCTCAACTCGCTAACAGATGCTTCCTCTAAAGTCGGTGGGTAGTTTCGTGATCTTGTTTACAAAGACATTTACCTTCCCTTCCCTTCGACATCTCGGCTGCGAAGATGGACGCTTTACGTCCCATACGAACGGGCTGCTGATACGGCTTGCCACGCGATACAGGAAACTTCCCGTAGGCTTCTTTCTGTTACAACCTGCCCATCTTCTGCCTGTCTCTCTCCAGTCTATACACTTGAAACACATCGTCCTGTTTGCTCCCATAAAACGACTGCCATCGTCTACGAATACAACCGCAAGCAGACGCAAAGGATGTTGCGCTGACTACAAGGCCTTTTCTTCTGCCACAGTTTCACCACCATCGACCCCCAACGAGCGATCGGCTACCTTCAGATAGACTGCGCCTGCGCGCGCTACAATGTTAGCGAAAGGTGCAAGCCAAACTACGGTTCTTGCGTCAACGGCAAGCGTAGTGTGCCCATTGAACTGCTCGACGTAGCCGGTCTCGTCCCCGGAGCGCATGAGGGCAAAGGGTTGGGCAACAAGTTCCTCGATGACCTGCGACATGCCGACGCCCTGATACACGTTGTCGACGCTTCAGGCACAACAGACGCCGAAGGAAAGGTCACGCGCGGGTACGATCCATCCGTGGACATTGCGTGGCTGCGCTCCGAGATCGTGGCCTGGATCAAGGGAAACCTTTGGGAGAAGTGGGGTTCAATCAAGAGGAGGCATATTGCTGTCAAGGCGACAGCGGTGGAAACGCTCCAGGCACAGTTCAGTGGTTACGGGAGTACCGCTGCGGTGGTGGCGCGGACGCTGGATAAGCTGGGGCTCAAGGAGCCGTTGGAGGAGTGGTCCGGTACGTTTGCGGCTTCGCTTTAAACACCTTGGTGGGTATCGTCAGTCCGACTGCGGCGTGGGTGCTAACACTAGTTTCCGACACCCAGAGGAAACCGTCGACCGCGTTGTCAACGCCTTCACCGACGAGAAGTTCCCAACGGTGATCGCACTCAACAAAATCGACCACCCAGACGCCGACAAGAACATTGCCAAGATCGCCAAGATGCAAGATCCAAACTCCATCGTCCTTTGTTCTGCGATCTCCGAAATCTTCTTGCGCAAGATGGCGAAGCAAGGGTATATCAAGTACACAGAAGGCAGCGAGTTCGTTGACACGAGGGAAGACCTAATAGCCGACGGCGATCCAGACGGCGGAGGCTTGAAAGAGCTGGACGAGAAGAACCGGAACAGGATAGAGAACCTGAAAGACATGGTCCTTTACCGATTCGGCTCCACGGGCGTCAATCAGGTGCTGTCCAAAGCCGCCGAGATCCTCGGCTTGGTGCCGGTCTTCCCAGTCAGGAATACGACGACGTTTACGTCGGGTGCAAATGAGTCGGCGAATAAGGCGGTATTCAGAGATTGCGTGTTGGTCAAGAAGAACTCAACCGTAGCCGACGTGGCCAGGAAGATTATGGGTGATGCGCCGATTGCCTACGTCGAAGGTGCGGGCGGCATCCGTGTTGCTGAAGACCAGATTGTTACGGTTGGGAAGAATGATGTGGGTAACCTTTCTGCTACCATTTCAAATGACTTTACTGACCTTCACATAGATCTTATCATTCAGGGTAGGCCGAGCATAAACAGCCGAAAGAGGAACATAGCCCAGCTTAGTACACCCTCGCGAACTGAGTATATAGGTAAAAGGCAATGCGTAAGAGTGTCATAAACAGCTACCAAACAAGAGCGCATGGAGGGACAGCAAAAGGAGCCTTATCCTATGATATGCATCCCACAAAATCCTTTAAACCAGCTTACTTGGAGAGCTCATAAGAGCACAAGTGACCGGCGTAATAGTACGAATTTGGAGTAGCAGAATGCTCATAACCGCAAGGCATGCGTTTCTGTTGTCGTTGAGCGCCTATTAACCCCTTGAGCTCCTTCCATTACATAAAACCCCATCTTTCCACCTACGTTCTCGTAAACCCGTTCGTTAAACGCCCATGCCTCCCTATCGTAATTAAACTTGTCTCTTCTTTTCTCACTTTCTGAGCTTTTCCTCATGCCTGCAACAAATGCGTGCCGAAACGTCCGCGTAGATCCCCCAGGGCGCAGCGCGTAATTTCGACAAGGGGTATCATAAGGCGAAAACAAGCGCCGGAACCGTCGGGAAAAGGAATCAACCTATCCATCCAGGTATGGTGATGTGCCCACACCACTTGGCTCCCGATGTAACATTTTCTTTTTCCCTTTCCTTCTCCTTCACGAACGACGACAAAAAACAAGATCAATTAGTTGGTGTTTCTTGTTGTCGTTGTTGTGTAGTTGCTCATTTAATACTTCAGAATAATGTAGAGAGCGTGGACAATACCGGGAAGGTACTGCAGGCAATAGTTAGCAAGGGTTCCGTTATGTGCGACAGCTGGAAGGTGAAAGGAAAGAAGGAAGGGAAGGAAAGCTTACACCCAGAATGGTGAGTAGGATGTTGATGAAGAGATCGGCACCGCATCCACGTTCGAAGAAAACTCCGAGAGGGGGGAGGATAACGGCAACGATGATCTTGCAGATGTCGCTGAAGAGGATGCGAATGTCAGCAATGGTGACCCAGAACCAGAGACGCCGCGCTGCGTCAAGCAGATGGGAATAGCCAGCTGGCTCTTACCTAGCGGTGAAAGCCATTGTGATGGATTAGTCTTGTAAGGTATTAAAGATTGGGATGAGTATCGCGCGTTGATCGAAAAGTTTTGGAGGCTTGCTGGATGTGAAGGTTGGATGATGCTTTTTGTTGTTTGCTCGAGTGGACTGACGTAAAACAGCGGCGAGACAAGCGGGCGGTAGAGAATTATATAGGAACAACATGGGACCTACGGGACAGCCTTGCCAAGATGAACTGTGCCTTCCTTGCCAAGATGAACTGTAGAGGTCATCTGTAAACCTGGCGGGGCCCTTATACCTCTGTGCTCTTGCAGGGCAAACGGTCAGGGAACAGGGTGCGCTTGTCTGTTTTCGTGGTGGTGTAGTCTTTTCCTCTGCCCAGTCCATTCCTTGCTTTGGCTGCTTGGGGCCGTTTGTGTGTCAGTTCAGTTCCCTTCCTTCGAAGCCAAGCGGGTAGGCGAGGGAACCTGATGAGATAATGGTTCAACCTTTCGCAAGCTCGCGCGCAAAGCAAGCCATGTACAAGGCGGTGCACACACGCGATTGGAGAGTCGGCTAGAATACGTCATAAGGTACACACCACTCAGCGACGAACAGGCAAAGGTACCCTACCTAAGTACCGTGGTAGGCATAGCACAGTGGTTTGCCGTCTTACTTTACCCAGTTTTGTCAACATCTATGTTAACTCGCAATGCTTCCTTGAGAAGCGAGGAACTGTGCCCGACATGAGAGAGGGCCGCCTGGTCAAGTGCTGGAGCGATGCTGAACAAGCTGGGGCTCGACTTCGGGACGGGACTCCGAAGTTCTCATGAGTGATCAAAATGAACCAGGGTAAACACGCGGACATCCCGGCGAAAGAACCACAGGGTCTTGTAGCGCTAACTTACAAGTACTATAAAACAGTGTGTACACCGCTTCATACCTAGTTAATGTTTAAAAGTTTGTTAGCCCGAGACTTGCAAGCTCTTTTTTGACAAGGGAGAGGACAAGGGATTATTCGGCGTGACTCATATTGGTGCAAACCACCGCGAAAGGAACGAGGCCAAGACCGGCGAGCGAGTATGTCGCAGCACATGCACCAAGAGACTCCATCCATAGCGGGCAACCACGGGCCAGACGCTGCTACTCCAGGACTCTTGCATCGCCAACCTAAAAGTGGTAGAAAGAGCCCTCTGTAGGTAGAGGAGGTACCGCCCTAACGGACTTTCTAGGGGTGAACTGTATCTATAATTTCGACACCGCAGCACAGCCCCAGGCACATGTGGTTCAAGCATCTACCGCTACAGCTCAGGAAAGCACGGGCAGTGTTTCGGGTCGCCCAACGGGGATGGGTAGATTGAAAAGCCCCTTTGCAATGAAAATGCTTGGGACTTTATTCTCATGCTGCCATTCATGCCTATCATGGTTTGCAAACAGTCTTCAAAGTTGTACACTAAATATGTACACTACGAATCAAAAGGTCCTAAAGTTGACGACGTAACCAAGTCCAGTGAGCCGAACCGTTACAATCCGGCAGGAGCTTGCCGTCCAGCGCTATCCTCGAGCGGCCAAGCGAGAGCCAAGCATTTGCCAAGATCCCAAGCCAGTGACATCACCAGAATGACCCGCAAGAAGTGTGGCGCATTAACCATGAAATGAAGGCTTACAAGGCTCAGCTATGCGCGGCCGGCTCACGCCCAGAACGATCTCCGGTGCCATCACTGATGATCTTGATTTCACCGCACAATCTAAGCGAAGCGCGATAGTAGTGCACAATCTCAGGTCTCTTTCAAGCGATGCCCAGGGCTCGGCTTCATAGCTGGGCGGCTGCCAAGCAGGCCATACCGGGTATGGCGGAAGTTGTATGGTCATTGGCATTCTGGGCTTCGGATGCGAAGTGAACTTTGGTCGCGTGAGGTTCTCTGTGTGGGATGTGCGCGATGGACACGATATTGGTCATTGGAGGTTTAACGATTTGAGCATTGAATACATGACAAAGCAGAGTTGGTAAAAACAGGTAGGAAACTTGATCTCCCTCCCCAACGGGTAAGACCAAGAGCCCATGGCTCCACAACAGAACGGCCCTTCGAAAATATCACATGCCATTGCTTGTCGAGGAAGAAAAGATATGTGTTTATTTCATGACTTTGGAAAACAAAAGATACAGCCGCTGACGGCCATCAAAACCTCTCAAGCCGAAGTGTTCGACTTCAACCGACAGTATGAACCACTAACAGGCAGCCCGATGACTTGATGAGAGGTTGCCATCAAGACATGCGATATCTCAAGATGCACCAATTCAGGCACGCAAAGAAGTGTGAAATAATGGCCAGCAGCGTAGGAGAAAACTGTGCCTTCGTCAGATCTGGACCCGAGAACAAGCACGGACGGGATATGGAAAATCGGAGTTTGATATGATCGACAGGGCGGTGGGAAGACAAAGCTGGCCGGCCTTGATGGGCCGAACTCTCCACTTGTCGCCGATGTGGAGCCCCATGCACCCGTACGCCAAGCCCCGCCTTCTGCCTGCCGACGGAGCCCTAAAATTTTGACAGGCCTAGGCCACACATTTTGGTCAAAAATTTTCCACCCAGCGCGTTGCGACCTCCACTTCACCACTTCCGTCCACCAAACCCTCAGAACCCAACAAAAGGCGCAGGATATCCAACCTCTTTGCGTCCTTCTTTCGACTTGTCCTTTGTCAACCCACAAGCACATCTCCATCCCGTCGACGCAATGGCTCCCATCACCGTATGTTCGCCCACATGACCATCGCTTTGCTGTTGGCCCAATCCTCAGCCAATGTGGAATCCCCCCAGCTTTCATGTTGGTCTGAGCGACCATGGCGTGAAGCAGTAGGCTAAGTCAAATTGTGTTTTACAGAAGAAGTCTGCCAAGGGCAAGGGCCCCAAGGTCACCAAGAAGTTCGTTATCAACGCTTCTCAGCCCGCCAGCGACAAGATCTTCGACGTCTCTGCCTTCGAGAAGTTCCTCACCGAGAAGATCAAGGTTGAGGGCCGCGTCGGCAACCTCGGCGAGACCATCAAGATCTCCCAGGTCGGTGATGGCAAGATTGAGATCGTTGCCCACAACGAGCTCTCTGGCCGCTACCTCAAGTACCTGTACGTGTTCCCCCCTCGCGGCCATCAACAGCCAAACTGGCGCTAACCAATTACCTCGCGACACAGGACCAAGAAGTTCCTCAAGAAGATGCAGCTCCGTGACTGGCTCCGTGTCGTCTCCACCTCCCGCGGTGTTTACGAGCTCAAGTTCTTCAACGTCGTCAACGACGAGGCTGAGGAGGATGAGGAGTAAATTCGATAACCTAAGGGAAATTCTGGAGATTTGAGGTTATCTGGCAGGGAATACCACATGATGGACGGGTGTGCATTGTGCTTAGCGGGAAACCGGGTTCAATGAACAAATGTCAAGTCGCCTCCTTGTGAGGCATGGCGTTCTGGCCAAACCTATTTCCGTCTAGCCCATGCGCATGTGACTATGTGAACTCTGTAACATTGCCGGTTAATCGTGAACCATCTATAACGCCTCCGTTCTAGGAGTATCATACCCAAAAGCCAAAAGTAAACAGATAACCCAACGCCTATGCGCCGCCATAACCTCTCGAGGTATATCACCCCAACCCAATGTCCGACCTCGGTAGCACTTCCGCTTACCCAGGCAACGACCTCATGACGCCCTCAAACACCAACAGTGCCATCGCATTCGCCGGGAACGCCCTTAAGAAGCAAGGCAAAAACCCGCGCCAGTATCCCTTCGCGCCATTCTCCTTGTAAACCGCCACCGCGGCGTCCCTCCACCTCGGGAACCTCCTGACGCCATCGCCGAGCCCTCCTCCCAGATTATCCGTCATGAACCGTTGCTTTACAACATCGCTCGGGTAACTAGTCAGCCAGAACACTTGCGCGCTCAGCCCGCCCGCCCAGAAATTGATAGCCGGCGTGCTCATCTGCGTGTACTGCTTCATCCACCTACTGAACACATCATACGTGCCCCACCAAAAGAAGAAGAAGCTGCGAAACAATATCGTCGCTCCCAAGCCGTGATACACGCCCCTGATGCCGTGGTGCGTGTACACCTTTTTGAGGCAGTCAATGGGGCCCTTATACATCCTCTCCTCCTTACGCGCCGCGTACTGGATCTGCAGTCTGGCTTTCACGTGTTCCACGGGCGCCGCGATGAAGCTGACCGTCATGCCCGCCAGGATACCCGCCAACCCGTGGCCATGCGAAGGCAAGGGTTTGGCGGGGTCGTGCAAGGGGTGCCAGGGCGGGTTGAACAGGTTGTCGCGCAAAAGGCGGCGGTAGACGGTCAAAGAGCCGAGCATGACACTGTCCATGAACATCCAGCCGACCAGTGGTGGGCTGGCGCCCTTGTAGAGACCCAGGATACCTTCGTTGCGGATGGTTTGGGTAACGCATTGGAGCGGGCCGGAGAAGCGGGTGGCGTCGGTGGTTTGGAGGCGCACTTTGATGGTGTCGAAGGGGTGGCCAACTGTGAGGATGGGTCAGTAACGTTGGTTCGACATTAAGAATCAAAATGAAGGTGGTGTGACGTTGGAAACAGTTATGCTAGTGCAAGTGTGTGTGAATGAATACGCACCGGAGAGCTTGGCGATGCCCGAAAAGACGCCAGCTACGAATCCCTTGTAGTTCGCGGCCGCTTTCTGGACCGCTACCGGTGCGGTAGCAGGGCCTGGAGCCTGTTGCTGGTGTTCTTTCAGGTTGGCACCCATGGTGTCGTTGGCTTGAGGTTCCTTCTACCTCAAGGCATACGAAGTGTTCTTTCCTTGTTTTACCTATATCATGAACCGGAAGATCCTGTTGAAATATGGATGTCAAAAAGGTTCCAAGCTCGTCAATAAAGGAAGGAAATACCAGAAGGTGTGGGATGCGCAGGTTAGTAATCTCACTTGACTACATGTGCTTCTTTCCCTCCAAAGTCAAGTCTGAAACAGGAATGAACGGACTAAAGTTATCTCGTTTTCGCTCGATCGACCGGCATATCGGACACCCAAGTTACGGATCGGACCTCATCGGAGTCGATCTGACTGTCCATCCAGGGGTATAAATAAGTATCCCCGCTAAAAAGGTACTGCACTGGTGGGGTTGATGGTGGAGTGTAGTAACCGCCATTGCCGTTTACTACATTAGCAAAAGTATAGACATGTGTAAAGGTCTCATCCAGACCGCCTTGCGATGGGGATACAATCTCAGGATGTTTTTAAATGGCTCACTCTTGAATATGTATCGAGTGTAACCTTTCAGGAGGGAAAGAGTACTAGGTAGTTGGGCTCCGCGATGATGTCGTGTTAGTGATATCGCGGGCGGTGCTGTGATTGGTCGAGAGATCGTCGAACAGCTCCTAACATCGGCCTCCATGCTTAAGCTCGTTAACTTCTGCCGTCATTCTTGACTTCCATGATCCTGGGTCCTCCATTATTGTATCCAGAGTCCGCACAAAACATTAACTGCTATCTGGAGGAGCTTTATCAGAATTATCTTGATGCCGGGTAACGGCCAACCTCCAAACCCGAAAAGGGTTTCACAACCCGTTACCCCGTTCCCTGTGTGTTTCCGACCTGCAGAAAGGCAACACCATTACCAGCAGTACCACAACCGACCATGTCACACCCCAAGATAACCTACGCCATACCGCCGATTCCCGCCGTGAAGATAAGGCGCAAGTTATGTAGCGGATGACCAGGAGCAGAGGAGAATTCCTCCGTTGAAGGAAACCCAGCTTTTGACAAACATCCCCTTCAACTCAAAATCTCTTCCCCCAGAACAACGTTCCTCCCAAAACCCTACCAAGCAAGTATCCTCCATAAGCACCACAGAGAATGGTAACCGGCCACCTTTGCCACTCGCGGTCCCAATCCAGTGGAATAGGCACAGCGCCCAGCCACGCGCCCACAAGGCCGCCCACCAGACCGCCAAAGGTCTCATCGAGCGGTGCACGGAATCCGCCGACCGCAGCCCAGGCGGCCGAGTCGACGCCGTGTACGTAGAAGAGCGGGAAGAGTGTAAGGAGGGCAAGGTGCGCGGCGCACAGGAAGGTATGCGACCCATGTGTGAGGAAGGGCGCGCCGAAGAGGACCATGGCGAAGTATAGGAAGGGCGTGACAATAGAGGTCAAAACGGAGGCTAGGAGTGCGGTCTAGAGTTTTATGACGAAAATTAGCGAGGTACACTCCCAACGAGACCGCATGGTCTCTGGAAAAGGACAAGATGGGACATAACATACAATGATCGTGCTCGACCCAATGTCGCCGCCCTTCTTCCTCTCGCCCGGCCGGGGTTTACGGTTCGACTTTGACGCCGGCTCGCCCGCCGCAGGCAGACAAAGAAGTGCATAGGTCATCTGGAATGCCGCGACGACGGGCAAGGCGTTGAGCATTACTGGGACGGGATTGGTGACGAGGGCGTCGAATCGAAACAGGTATAAGGCGGTCAAGGCGGCCGGTAGAGCATAGCGGATGGTCTGAGCAGCGGGCGTTTGTTTGATTTGGACGGGTCGTAGAGTCGCCAGCGAGCTGCTGGAACCGGCCGTTGTCGTCGATGACTCTGTCGCTTGACTTCCAGGTGTACTTTTTGTTGTCGATGTCGACTGAGCTACGGCGCCCTTCACGATTGCTGACGAGGACATTGTTACCGGATCCACGAGAGGCATTTTGGTTGCACGAAATGGAATGAAACGAGGCAAGCTGAAGAAGCCTCGTGGTGCCAATTGATCGTGATTATTGGTGCAGTGGCAGGGGGACTGTACCTGCGTGTACAGTCGTTGACCGAGCAGCCGTCGCAAGGAAAGTGGAAGAGAAGCGATGTTGCTGAGGGAATGAACAGGCCAAAAGCTTCCACTTGATGGCGGGCTGGACGGTTATTCTAGACGGTTAAATTCGGGATCCACTGTAAGCACCCAAGCGTAGAACCCTAACCCTCTACCACCTGCAACTTTGGCTTCTCAGTGCGAGTCAAGGACTTATTACTTGTGACGTTTGAAAAATAACCTTGAATATCTTAAGCCCCAGTCAGGAATGAAACGTAACACATACTATCGATGGCTCTTTTTATCCTTCCCCCTTTTTCCCTTTCTTGTCTTTTTTTTTATCTTTCGGTAGGCTGGTCAGAGCCAACCCTGTTCAGCACAGTTCAGTTGTTGGATGAACGCTGCTTCTATGTATAGCCGAACGCTTCGCAGATGCCTACACCCAATACGTGCTGGTTCTTATAAGAACGACACAGCTCTCATCAACTTTGGCCTCAGGGCCTCCAAAATATCCCTAACATGTAAGTGTCTGACTACACATGCGATCCATCGCCATCTACTGAGCATCCTTAGCCGGGATGAGGTTTCTCAAAGACAAGTCATACACCACATCCTCGACCTTCTTCACAGCGTACTTGACCGAGTCCACCCTCTTCCGCAGGATATCGTTCTTCAGATTGAGCATTTGGAACCCTCCGTGTAGATCCTTGATGAATCCACTGATCTGTACAGCCAGCTCTGTGTCGCCTAATGTCACAGAGTTCATGGCGAGGCGGCTGAGGTCTTCAACGACCGAGATGAGAGCCAAGAGATACTCCTCGATGGTGATGTGGAAGGCGTCACGGTCCTTGAGGTTGACCGGAACTAGAAAAAGGAGTTCATAGTGGTAAGCATCTGTCTCTCCAGTGCCCCACGGTGCTTTCTGGCAGCGGGAACCAATGAAACCATGGAAACTTACCTTCGAATACGTGACCAACTTCCTCCAAAGTCAGGAGACGACCGACTTCACCAGGCTTGCTGTCGCTGCCCATACCGCCCAACCAAGCATGAAGGAGCACCGTAGCAATGGCATCCTGAAGTGTGCGGCCCCACTTGTAGTTGTACCTTGGGGAGAGATCCGTCAGCTCATGGCCTCAAGTACGTGGCAGATGCTTATACTCACTTGTAGTAAGGGTACTGCGAGGCAAACTGGGCTAGCCGAGTTGTTGTCTCCAGCTCCTTCTTGATACCACTCTCAACCTGAGAAAGAAGTGCGGGATCTGAGTTGGCAAGTCAGCATCCTATTTCGAACTTTGAGAAATTCATCATCAGCATAATCGCAATGCCTCATCCCACAGATCCCAAGGTAGAGAACAGTTTGAAAAGGGTTCTCGAGGGTTTGGATGGACAATTTGACATGGGGCGTGATTGATTCCTGAGAAGGCAGCCCAGGTGCGGGGACCGTACATTTCGAACGAGGAGTGGAATGGATCTTGGTCAACACTCCCTGAGTATAAGAGACATTTTGATTGAGCTCCTCGATTATCTGCTCAAGATCTTTGCGAATACTGCTGTCCTTCTCGATGTTGTCTTTGAGCTGGTCGAAGAGCGCGGGGTCAATCATTGGCGGAGCCATCTTGAACAAGTTGCTGCGTCTTGGAAATGGTAAAATAATGTAAATGACTGACAACTCAAGACGTGTGGTACTATGGGGTGATCGCGAATGACTTGGGTTCGGTGCTGGTTGTTGGATGCGATGCGATGTTCAGATGGAGAAAACCCCGTGCAAAACAGGAACTCTAAACTGCAGTGATATTTTTTCAACTGATTGCCATTTGGTTCCAATTCGGCAATTTGTTCGTTTGAACGCGGTAAGAAAAAGAAAAGGAAAAAAAAAAACCACACAAGGGCAAGACCGACCACGAGATCAATAAGGCATGACCTTGATCTTAGCAATACTACTTAATTTTCGAGTCTCCTGGCTTCGCAAAATACTGTTGGTGTTTATCTTGCAGTGAACAGGAAGTTCATGACCACATACCAACATCAATTGAAGTCAATGACCGGTTTTCAACCCATTCCAAGGCTCAGCAGGGATGGCCTGTGCTTCAGCGTTACCTTCTCATTCAGCCTATGACTCTATGAGACCGTGACTATCGAGTATCTTTCGTTTTCAGCGAATCTGACGGACCTCAGATGTTGCGAGAAACGATGGTGCAGCTCCGAGAAAAATAAGTATGATGAAGTATAAGACCCACGTGATTGTAAAGAAAAAGATGCAAAGGCATAGTGGTCGACATGAAGATGCTTCTATAAGTAAGAGGCAAGCCGAAGTCCTGGGCCGTCGCAAAGGGCAAATCCCACGGTCAGGTAGGTAGGAGGGTAGGTACTTTGACAAGGTACATACGTGCGTAGGCAAGTAAGAAAGCACAGACCACAAGAACCTCAACCGCTCTTTCCACGATCCGGTATCACTCCGGAACTCTTGGACAGCTACCGAAACCATCGGACATATGTACTTCTACTACCATTTCTCACGGTACGACGAGCCTCTATGCCGGAAGGCGGCGCGAATACCCTAAATGTACGACAAACAATAACCATCGGCTCCAAAGCCTAATATGTATTGTTTGGTCAATGCCAAAGTTTCAGACGAGAGACAATACCCCTTGATCAATCGTCACCCGTAGACTTCTTCTTGGGAACAGTTGAGGCCGTCCACTCCATTGGATTCGCCGCACAAGCTTGAGGCGAACAGTTCAAGGTTGATGTACATCGATAGGTACTTTTACATAGTATATCTCTTCACCTTTGTAAATTAATCCCCATACGTTACTTCGCCGTCACAGCCGAGACCACAAGGCTTTCGTGTCATTGACGACCCAACTTTCTGGTGGACCTAGGAAGTCCGTTGCCTGTGCATCATGTATCGAGGCATTCCATCTTTTTCGATGCAAAAATTCTTCTTTGGCTTCCTGTTCGACGAGGAGAAATTCCATGCCTCGGCACAGCAACCCCTGACCCAAGCTGTTGCGGGGGATCTGCTCCCCTGTAAATGCGGGGGGAGGAGACACCCAGATGCCTTCTCAGCCAATTGACTGCAAGCTGAGTTCCGAAAATGGGCAACCTTGAATGCCTACATTTATTGACGAACAGTGGCGTTCACGAGTAGGCAAAGTTCGGTCCGCTACCAGGCAGCCTGTCCACTCACTCATACCGGTCCCTGTCCATACCTTTTGAGATGCTGAGGTACGCGGGAGTGACGGCACTGGGGAACGGACTTATCTTCCGTCCCTTCTTGGGAGGGAGGTCAGGAAGGTTGTCCAAACAGCGGCTTCGAGTGAATGGTCACCTCTCGGTACGCTACTGCCGTGCTTCATCTATAGCCAGCTGTTCCCGTTGAGCCATCCCATTCACTTATCTTGTGGCGCTGGACTTTTGACACCTAGTGGCTCTGTCCTTCACTCACCTCCTTTCCGCCCTTCCCCGCCCCCGGACATATATGAACGAGAGGTGGTGCCGGTACTTGACCCCTTCTTCACAGACCGTTCTCAACAGAAAGCTCAGAAGAAGATCTCCCCTCAAACGATGCCGGTCAAATCACGATGGGCCGCCGATATTCCTCGGTGCTCCCTGCAACAATGGATCTTTGACTCGCCTTGCGGTCCTCTTCCAGACCGTCGTGCATATATCGATCCTGAGCAACCTGATACGAACTACCTCGACCTCAGCGGCTACCGACTCTTGGCCAAGCGCGTCGCCTTGGGCTTACAACAAGCTGGTCTGAAAGAGGGCGACAGAGTGCTCCTCTTCTCTGGCAACAACATCTTCTTCCCTTCTATCTTCCTTGGCATCTTGATGGCCGGAGGCATCTTCACAGGTGCCAATCCCAGTTTTGTGACCCGAGAGCTGGCATATCAGCTTCGCGACAGTGAAGCCGTCTTCCTCGTCGCGGCACAGGGCTCTCTTAAGACAGCTTTTCAGGCAGCTAAAGAGGCTGGCCTGCCGAGGGATCACATTTTCGTTCTCGGCGGAGATACCCCTGCAGCACAGGAAGTAGCGCTATCTTCCAATCCTGGACCAGGGCTGAAGGGCCGGGTTGCGGGAGCTAAGCACTGGACGGAACTCCTTCAGGGAAATGCCAAAGAAGCCGAGAGCTGGAGCTGGAAAGAGCCAAAGGATCCGCAGACCACGACATGCTGTCTCAACTACAGCAGCGGGACCACTGGAGTTCCCAAGGGCGTTGAGATCAGTCATTATTGCTATGTCGCAAACGGAGTTCAGGTTATTCACCTCAACAACCTCAACCCCGACTGGGAGGAAAGGCAAAAGCGAGCCCGTGCCCTCTGCTTCCTGCCGCTTTACCATGCCTATGGCCAGACATACTTTGTCGCGAACATGCCGCGGGCCGGCATCCCCATCTACATCATGCCGAGCTTCGATTTCGTTAAGATGCTCGAGTATGTTCAGCGCTATCGGATTACCTCACTAACCTGCGTGCCACCAATTGTGGTCGCGTTGGCCAAGTCTCCTCTTACCAAAAAATATGATCTTTCAAGTGTCGAGGGATTGGGTTCCGGAGCCGCTCCGTTGGCAAAAGAGGTCTCCGACGAAGCGGAGAAGCTGTTCAATGGGAAATTTCGTCTTCGCCAGGGCTGGGGCATGACGGAAACGACATGTACTTGCATGTCATGGGATCCTCTCAACAAGGAGCCCAGCTCAGGCGTGGGCGAGATGATGCCCAACTGCTCTGGAAAGCTGATGTCACTAGACGGAAAAGTCGAGATCACCAAGGCAGGGGAAAGAGGCGAGTTCTGGGTTGCAGGCCCTAATTTGATGCGCGGTTATTGGCGAAAGCCTGAAGCGACAGCGGAAACCGTTGTCGTCGACGCAGATGGCACTCGCTGGCTCAAGACGGGCGATATTGCCTACTTCGATGCGTACAAGCCTGGAGGAATCATTCACATCGTCGACAGGTTGAAGGAGTTGATCAAGGTGAAGGGTAACCAGGTGGCGCCTGCTGAACTTGAAGGGCTGTTGCTCGAGCATCCTGAAGTAGCCGATGCAGCGGTGATCGGTGTGACAATCAACGGCGAGGAAGTTCCTCGAGCCTACATCGTTCGCCAGAATCCCAAGTCAAAGATCACTGGACAGGAGATTGCCAACTGGATGGCCGGCAAGGTGACTCGGTACAAACAGCTAAAGGGCGGCGTCGTTTTTACGGACAATATTCCGAAGAATCCGGTAAGTTCTGATTATATCTTTTTTTTGATGTTGCACGTACCTAGGCGCTAATGCGTAACCCGTACAGTCTGGCAAGATTTTGCGTAGGCAGCTTCGTGATCGCGCGGACAAAGAAGTTGGAGATCTTAAATCGAAGCTCTAAAGAGAAATGGACAGGTGCCGGCGTTGTTACCCTTCACGCATCTCGCAAGCAGAATGGTGGAGGCCGTATCGACAGGAGTAGACTGGTTCCACAACACTTACCTTTACTTCATGGCCGAGGACTTGGGAAGATGAAGGAAACAGGTGGAAGCAATGGGTAGAGAAACGTGCCAGATTTGGCAACATACATACCTTTGAAGGATAATGGTTTTCTAAGTACATACCCGATGGAATGCATGCATAGAGTTGAGGTTATCTACCAGACATCGGGTGCAAGAAGAGTGTCGGTAAGATACCACGGATCATATGCAGCGGGAACTGGGCTTGATGGATGAATTGAACGGAGGGTCGCAAACTCCTAAGCGAGATGTATGGGACGCATTTGTGAAAGAAGGAGTAAGTGGGTTGGTTCCTTCCCCTGGTCCTTGATGCTTGCAATAGGCAAGTTCTCTCAAGCACCTTCCTCGAGATGGGCTGAGCAAGAATACCTCACTGCCGCCCCCACACCACGAGTACAGTCATAGTCCGACCTTCGACTTCATTTTCCTCCACTCCGTTCTCACTCCTCGCTAATTGAACGAAGCAACACATGGACTCTACGAACTTGTGTCCCCCGTCAAGTCAAACCATTACCTCTACATCTAGCGGGGCGCATCCTGGCCAGGTCCATATACTGGAAGCTGATTACCTATTTGCAACTGTCCGGCGCCTCTACCACGAACACTGACCATGGTCATTCCACCCATTCAATCCTTTTATCAAAAGGCATCACCTGCCTCTTCCGCCTTCTCCCAGACACTACTAGGAACACCCATATCCAATCATGCAGACATGAGCCGGGTGCCGTTGACAGAAACGTGGAAGCCACAAGGCAGTTATGCCAGAGTCAGCATTTCCGAACTTCAGCCAGGAAGAGGCAAGGTCCGATTCATGGGGAGAATTGTCAATATATGCCCGGCCAAGCCTGACCATCAGCCCAGAGCCCTTTCCTCTCTTCCCTCTGGATTCCATTTCATGGTGGTCAAAGACGATACTGGCGTAGTTGCTGTGAGTTCAGCATCCTTAACCTTTTCATCTTCGTCTGAAACAAATCTCCGGACATCTGGCTCACACCAAAGAAAATCCAGATAAAACTACTCGGCACGCAATCCGGCCTTATCAACCTCCGCCTCGGGAACCTGGTCACAGTATGGACCGGCTTTGTGGCCGAATACTCAACGGCAGCCACTATCCAAGTCCCTTTCGTGTCGATGATTATTCCTGTTCACCCAGGCCCGGCTTCGCAATCATGCATCAAGTTTCACCAAGATGGAATGGACCCAGAGGAGACGGGTCTGTGTCGAATCCCTCTGGAATATAACACTAGTTCTGCGTTCTCTCAGATGCCGGGGCTGATAAGCCTCAGAGCCTTCATGAAAGGCACTCATACCAAGGGGAAGCACGAGGATGATATCTTGACAAATATCCTTGTCTGTGTCTCAAGCATTGGCCCTCGCAAGACCATCAAGGCCAACAACAAACCAAGCACTCTGGAACTGGTTGAGGTTCATGTCTGTGACGAAACAGGACATTGTGTTCTCAAACTCTGGAGCGACCAGATTATCTCGGCACGCGCATGGACCGCTGGACAGACCATCCTACTAATTACCAACCCAAAACTCTACCCTGCAAAGAAAGTCAACGAAAACCCAGGACTGGGTATTGCCCTGAACTCGATAGTGGATGTGGATCCCGACTTTCCAGATGCTCACTGGCTTCGACGATTGGCTGAAGCTCAAAGAAAGAGAGAGCGGGCATACACGCCGTTTCCCGTGGGTGTATGGGACGTCGAACAAGCTATCAACGGCCCGAACAGGGTACTCTATACCTTGGCAGACGTGGATGAGAGGGTGAGAGAGGACGCCAGCGTTGTGTTTACCGGGAAACTCAACGTCCTCATCCTTGGTGTCAGTATCTGCGAGAGCCAGAGACAGAACAGACTCTGTTGTTTCGAATGGTGAGTCAGTTTACCGGAACTAGCCCGTACGGTACTTCACACAAGACTGCCTTTCTCCCATCGCTCATCTTTACCCCTCTACCTACGGACCATACCATGTATAAGGTCTGGAACCAGGCCTTACTCACAGAAACATTGCCGGTGTGCGAGTTACCCGTGGTACAGTTTTTGTAGGTCGCTGCTGGAGCATGGTGGTTCGTTCCCCCAAGTTTCCTGGGCGACTGAGCTTCTTGTTATTTTTGTCGCCTTCATCGATGGTTGAAAAGAGCCCCGACGCGTTCTCCGTATTTTTCTCTTCCATTCCCACTTGCTTTCGAACGAAGTTCGTATCTTGATTGTTGCCCGAAGACGCAGCGATTCCGATCGCAGGTCGCCACTGCAGCTGGTGCAGAATAGCATGCCTCTTGTTTCCACTCTTGGCGAGAAAAAAAGACTAGTTACTGAAAACTGACATTGCCTATCTCTAGTTGCAACTTTCCACTTTACTCCAACCAGTCCTCCGCGACGTGCAAGAACTGCCACAAAGACTGCGAACTGACCATCAACCCCCGTGTAATCGGACCTGTCGCGGACGAAACAGGATGCGTCACCCCGTGCAAGTTGGTCTGGAGCGACAGAGCATGGTCTGAGTTGTTCAGAGGTGGTCGTGGCATCTGTTTTGACGGCGAGCATGGAACAGCGACTGAACCATCGCCGAATGCCAATGTCTCTGACCTTACTACTTCACATGAAGACAATCATGATGCTTACTATGCTGTGCCTCAATCTCACCAATATATCTGGAAGGACCTGATCAAAGTTGACCCATTGGAACTTAGAGACTTGGAAGAACGGCTGTTGTACTCCCGTGTTACCTTGACGTTTGGCTGGTCTGCGGGGTCCAAGCGGCTCTGTGTGTTGGGCGTGGAATGGTGAAGATGTTCGAGAAAACGGGCGTTGGTGACTCTAATGGTTGATATGGTACCGCTTGATGGACGTGGAATGATAGTACCCGAGGAGGAAAAGTAATGACAAGATGTTGTGGTTTATGTTGTAGGAGTTTATATTACGGTCTACAACCGCCACAGTAGTACTGCACATCAGTCACCAAGGTCAAGCAAAACCACATATGTAAGAACGGTGTTCATTATTGTACCTTTCAAGGCATCTAGCAAAGATCCAGATACTAACTATGATCTTCTTTTCTAATTTCCCTCCTGGCAGCAAATCACCCGCTCTTAACCATTTTCTCAAATTTTCCCATTAACGCTGTGCTGTTGCAAACAGCGACTCTCAGGCTGGCTCGCATTACCCCCAAAATCCCTCCATCTAAAAGCTCAGATATCTAAATCCTCCAGTCAAGAATCTGCTTGCAGCGGCGTATGCTTGACGCTTGACAGCCTAAAAGAGCTTGTGCTCAAGGGTCATGTCAGACTCAGGTTCGAGACCGACGCAAGCGCGGAAAATGTTAGTAAGGGCAGCACGCTGCTTAGCAAGCGCGTTGACGACGGGAGTGCCGGGGGGAGTGAGGGGGGCTTTGAGCATGTAGCTGAGGACGCTCAGGACGCTGTGGAAGTGCTTGAAGTCCTTCTCGGCAGCGGCGCCGGCCTCAGCAGCCTTCCACTGGATGCGGGTCATGATCTCGGTGATGACGGCGAGATCGATGATCAGGGGCGAGGCAAGGAGGGAGTCCTCGCACACGTTGAAGAGCGAGATGGTCTGGTGACCGCCGCAGAAGATCTCGGCGTAGTACTCGTCAAGGGCGCGCTTGTCGTCGCCGACGGCGGGCATGTACTTGATCACAACGGTGTGATCGGGGTGCTCGCCCTCCTTATACAGGACGCTGTTGGCGGCCACCATGTCGTCGACCACGTTGGACTTCGAGATTTCCTTGGAGCGGAACTGCTTCTGCGAGGAAAGGTTGTAGCCGTCGTTGTTGCCCAGGTGGTTGTAGGACGCAATCGAGGTCAACTTGATGCCGGCATTGATGAGGAAGTCGGTCAGGGCAGACTTCATCTTGGTCTGGCCGGACTTGAAGTCGTCTCCGCCGATGAAGGCACCGTGTCTCGCGGCAAGCTCGATGGCGCCGGGGACGAAGGTGTTCTGGGGGGAGCCGTTGATGAAGGGAGTACTCTCGAGAATGCAGGCAACGGCGAAGATGGTGGAAGGGGAGACCTCCTCGTGGCCGGCCTCAATGGACTTGAGGAGGTTGTCAGCGGTGTCGTTGACGCCGTCAATCAAGTCGGCGTAACGCTCGGTGTTGGCAGTCCAGAGGACAATAATTTTGTCGAGGCCGTTGGCAGCCTTGAACTCGCGAATGTCCTTGCGGATCTGCTCAACGTGCTCCATGGAGGCCTTGGAGCCGGGGAGAACGTTGTCGGCACGGTTCTCCTGGTTGGCAGCAATGAAGTCGGGGTAGTAGATGGAGGGCAGGGGGACCATCTTGGACATCTCCTCGCGAACAAGCTCCTTCATGGTAGGCTGAAGGACTTTGGCGCGATCCATGGCCTTGTCGAGGGGCATGCCGGAGATATCCCAGCCGCCAATGACGAGATCGTTGGGGTGAACCATGGGGAGGACGTTGTGGAAGGGAACGTTGACATCCTTGCCCTTGGCGTCGATGCCGAGCTTGATGGTGGAACCCATGATGACGGAGCCGTAGTAGTTGGCCTCCTGGGTACCCTCCTTGGTAGCCCAGCTGTACTTGTGCTTGTTGGCGAGGATGCCGGCGGTCACGGTGGTGCCATTGTTGCCACCCCAGCCGACCAGCATCAGACCGGTCTTGGGGACTTTTCTGTCGACCTTGAAGTCGTAGACAGTCTCCTTGGGAACGGCGACATAGTTGTCGCCCTCGACAGTGCACAGGGTGGTGCGGTAGGTGTACTTGGAGCGGATCTCCTCGTCGGTGTAGACTACGTTGGGGGAGTTGACAACGAAAGTCTTGGGGGTGGTGTTGATATGTCCATCACCGTTGGCATGAGCGCCGTTGGTGCCGTTGGTGCCGTTGATACCGTTGGTAGTCATGTTGACGGTAAAGGTGGTTGTTCAGGTGCAGGTAAGTGGTTGGTTGGCTATCTTGGCTGTTGACGGTCTTTTATGGGGTAAAGACCGAGTCCGCTGAACTTCCGGGCGAGGCAGAACAACGGGCTCCTGCGTACGGGTGATGGACTCTGATAATTTATATTAGTGAAAGATCTAAAGATTGTAATATTTTATTACGGCCGCCAGTGGCACAAAGCGCAGAGCCGCAAGGGTTGTGACTGGGCTAGGGAATATGGGACAACCTCAAACACATTTCCCCCGACCCTTCACTCACACCAACCCGCGTGGTGAAGGGTCAACAATCGAGGGCATGAAAACGCAACAGAAGGGCGGTCGTAGGGATGGCAGGAACACGCAAACGGCGGCAGAAACCTGGAAACCGTCGACTTACGAGTTGAGTAGGTTGGAAAACGTTTTGGCGGATGATGGGATCGCGGCTCGGGAGCGCGATCAGATGGTTAGTTGCTTTAAGGGGGGGGGAGTGCAAGGTCGTGACCGGTATGGATCTTTCTGAAGACGATGGGGGATTGAAACAAAAGAACGAGCAAGAGACGTTGGTTGACGGGCCTTCTTTATATACCTGAGGACCCGGCAAACAGGCCACGGGCTCCCGCAAGGGACATGGCGGGAGATGTACCTCATTAGCCTCTCGTGAGGTGGTTCCGATGTGGATGCACGTCTGCCCTGGAGATTGGAGCTCCATTTCCCATGCACCACGCGCGCGGCGGCCGGGCGGCGGGCGGTCAAGGGGGGAGACGGGACTCTGGGGCGCCCGAGATCGCGCGCCAGGGCAATGCAATTGGGGGTAGACTACCATACAAGTTGGCACATACAGGGATCTTGCAACCATTGTCCACGCTCCGGGGTTTTCGGGCTCTACACATCAACCCCTAAAAGTTCGTTAGCTCGGTACCTATAGGGATTTTCGATAGGGGAATGACAAGGGGGGTTACAGGGAATAAAACCAATAGAATTGCACATGTGGAGCCCACAGATTTTGAACAGAGAGAAAGGAGTTATGGAAAATCATTATATTTACTATACTAAAATTAGGGTAATCCGAGTACTTTTTCGTACCCGCTATAGTTAGTTAGTATTGAGTATAGCCTCTATTCGTAGTAATAACTGCCTAAATTCTTCTAGGCATCGAGTACACTAGCTATTATAGGTAATTAATTGGGATTACTTCCTATACTTATTCGATTATAGACTTGAGGCTATTCCTAATTGGCCGAATTAGATAATTCACCTCAATCTAATTTTTTATTTAAGACTAGACGTTCTTAATAGGGTTGAGGTCAGGGGAGTAAAGGGGCTAAGGGATAACCTTTACAGGATTGAAAATTTGAGATATAAATACCTTTATTATTTTTAAATTATAAGAAGGGGTATTATTCTATGTAATGTAGAAGGACGAATTTTGTAGCCAAAATTGTTATAAAAGAAGGAGAATATATTTTTAATACAATTTATTAGTAATTGTACTCTACTCTTTATAATTCTAGAAAATAAAAGTACCTTTTATTTTGCTTATAAAATAAGCCTAAAATATTTACCTTCGAAGTTGATATTTAACTTTAGTAAAGTTTTCGATTTTTTTGTTTTTAAAGAGGGTAATGAAATGATAGCCTTTATTAAAGCTATTAATTTACATTTTATTAAATTAAATTTAGGACTCCTATTCGAATAGGGTAAGGTTAATTTATTAGAGAGCGAATTATAGTTAGAGACGATAAGTATTTTTACTAAGGGGGAGGTATATAGATTGTTCTATATAGTAGACGCTTTATTGCTCTATAGCGGTTTAAATAGTATATGCACTATACGGGGCGAATTGGGGGATACACTTTTAAAATTCGTACTATAGTAGGAACCTTTTTAATTTTATAAGCGTATTTATATATTAAAAGAGAATTTAAATTATAATTAGTAGAATAGTAAATAATCTCTCCCTCCTATTTACGGTATTAAGGTATAACTTTAGTAAGGCAAGTATATTATATTTATCTATCCAATTATTAAAAATTAAATACTAATAATCTTTTAATTGAAATTTACTTAATAGTAAGGTTGAATGTTATAGTAATATTTTTATACTTTATCTTCGTATATATCCGAAGTGCTTTACAAATTATATATCCCTTATATATTGTTAGTAGTAATTTTTGTTTATTCTAAGGAGATAGTCGATAAGTAAAAGATAGTTCGGTGGGGTTAATTAATAATAAGAAAATAATATTAGTACCTAGCGAGGGTAACGATAGCGGCTCTTACGCTAGCGAAGAGGGTAGTATATAATACTCATAGATTTATTAGTATTGAAGTAGGGTAGGACCTTTAAATCCAAGTAATAATAATTATAATTAAAATACTAGTAATAATAATTATAATTAAAATACTAGTAATAATAATTAATAATAAATAATATATAGTAATAATCTAGAAGGTAAATGTACTAACCGGGTACGCCGACGGTAGTAGGGCATTATAATAAGGTAAAGGGGAGGATTTATAGATTGTACAAACTCCCTTCCTTAATAATATACTTACTATAATTATAATTTATATTACTTATATAAATAAAGCTCTCCTTATTATTAATTATAGTATTATTATTTTGATTTTAGTATTGAGTATTGTATTAAACCTTATATTAAGGTTTATTTTGAAAGTTAATAATCTAAGGGAGTTAATAAAGTATTAGGATAAAAGAGGGTTAGTAAAGTAGATTGAATAAAAGAGGGTAAAAGAAGATAAGAAAGAAGGTTGTATATAAAAGAGTGGATTTGAGCGGGAGAGGGTTGTATGTAACTGATTGGTTGTTTGTTCTTTTCTTGGTGTGTACGGACTAGATTTTGATATATATGCTAAATAAATATATACTTTTAAGGTTTTAGATTTCGTTGATTCTAGTCGAAATTTAGTATTTATATTACTTTTTATATCTATTTAGGTAATTTGGGTAATTTAGTTAGAGTTATAATTTTGAAAAAAAATCGTTAATTTACTAGTTGTTTTAGCGAGTAATCCTAAAATTTAATTAGTTAGATGAGTTTAAGTGCCTTGTAAGTACGTTGTAATTTTATTAATTATAGAAGGTAGTTTGGGTGATTTAGGTAATTCTAAGCTAGTATAAAAGGGATTTGTATATGTACGCTGCTGTGAGCACTGTTAATCGATTCTTATTTTGCGGTTAGACGATTTTAGCCAATTAGAGGCTGTAGATAGACGTGTCCTGCCTTATAGCCCCCCCTGCCCCCCCCTTGTAAGAAAATATAGGGTAAGAACTAGACTAACAAACTTTTAAGTATTAATATATAGACTTGCCTGCCCGTAGCATCTACCTGTCCGGTCTAGTCTCTATTATATTAACCCCCGTCAACAACGCTTCAACGGACCCGCCCCACAAATATGTGGGTCTCCCCTCCTCGAACTTTTGTGAGAGGAGGTCTGTTACGGTTTTGCGCAAAAACGTCGTCGGCTGCAGAAACTCCTATATAAACTCCAGATTTTCTTTTTATATATTCCTTTATAATAAAGTTAAGAAAAATGGTAAAAATATAAATAAACTACTCGGAGAATAGTCTTCTTGAGCTCTTTCTAAATATATAATTTTTATAACGCTCGGACCACCCGTTAAAGTAATGCAACCCCAAAGACAAACCTTTGTCGGCTGTAGTTGCTTTTAAGGTTTTCGACACTCCTTATTTTTAACCTTATTAGTAACTGTATGGCTATATAAAATATATGCTGAGAATGGCCCCGATGAGACGGTTCTAATGGTACTACTTTTGTAGCGCCCGGACCACCCGTTGAAGTAATGCAACCTCGAGGGGGTAGTATTTCATTTTTCCACTTCTAGATTTCTTTTATTTTTAACCTTAATATTAATGTGTTAAATGAAATATTTATATGGGGAGGATGGCCTTGATAAGGCGGTTCTAACGGTACTACTTTTATAAAGCTCGGACTACCCGTTAAGGTAATGCAGCCTTGAGGGGGTAAAAGCTTCAAAGTTCAAAACCTTGTATCTCAACGAATATTGGTCGTATAGGAAAACTAAGACTACCATTAGAACCACAATAAAAAGATTTATATAAAAGGTATTTTCTTTCATTTTTACTAGTCTTACTGGATTTTTAATAAATAATAATACCTGGTTATTCTTCTGCAGCCGACGGCCAAAAAGCGCAAAACAGGCTCAGACCTGCTACCGCAAAAACGGGTGGGGTGGGGTGGGTTTTGGAGGTTAAGTGGGTCTGAGAACTGAGACTAGTCCGGTCCGGGGCAGAGGACATTGTCATTTCAGATTGTAAAGTCAACCCAAATGTTTATTTCACGATATGTTGGGACTCTGCTAGTAATACGACCCCGTGCCACGACCAATGGCAAACGCCCATCGCCGATATCCCCAGGAAATACACAGTACATAATAACGTCAAAAGAGTGAATGTGATTAACCCCGGGATGGTTTCTTTGATCTTGTATTCCCTGGTCGATTCATCCACCTTCCAATAGCACCTCGACAGTTCCCCCCAGCTGGGCCACGTTGGTATCAGATGGAAAAGACAATCACTCGCGTACAGGCATAGCTACCTACGTACGCAAGCACGAGCACAGCCTGATTTCTGGAGCAGAATCTGTTCAACAACCTCAACACGCATACACATCCTGATCCTGTCTGAATCCGCTGTCTGCCCTTTCGGCGGCCGAATCGACAGGCGCCGGTTAAAGTTGCCCCCTGTAAGAGACAAGGTCTGTACGACCCTTTTCGATAGAAGGACGAATATTCGGGGTTTCCAACAAATTCTTTAGTCAAATGTTCACCCGCACCCGACAGAACCATCGTGCCATGGCGCGTCGGTTGTGAGGTTGGACTGTCGGGGGAGGTTGGGGACGATGTGGGGTGCCGGGTCTTCCACCCACCGGTCCGGACACGGAAACCCCTGAACCATCTTGCACTGCCCTGGGGACATCCAGACGGGACTCGCCAGACAGCGGGCAACGCCAAGCCTGCCGATTTGCCCACTCGATAACGGATAGATTCGGGTGCCGAGCCCGATAAGGAGGTACCTGTGACCTACTCCATACACTACTAGTAGTAGCGTTCCGGTCCTAACGGCAGCATGAAGGGCGGTCTGTCGATTTTTGTCTCCATCTTCTTGCACATCCCGCGTCTCGAGCTCGACATTGGTCCATCATCGAAAGTGCATTGCATCAGCAATTGTTGTGAGCCGGTGTTCGCTTGTCGTAGGTTGACATCGAACCGCAGACTGCACTGCGGTCGTCTCGCAGCTGCTAGTTTCTGCTCTTACCGTGAGTCATTAACGCCATTGTTGATCAATCCCTGGACATGTTGTCGTGGCAGCACCCGGAGATATCTGGATTTCTGTAATCCTGTCTCTCGTCTGCAAGCAGAGGGCGCAGAACCAGAGAAAGGGTGGCCAGAAGCGAGCTCATCGTCAGCAAACCCCCACGGTCGTATCATGGCGAACAAGAACCATGCTCCAGCTGGGCTCAAGCATATGTGAATAGTCATCTGCTCACATGCCAACAAACGCAATTTGTACGGTTGCTGTAATCATGATAGAGCTTCGGCACCTTGGTTCATGGGATCCTGCACAAACTACCACACCATCACTGCAATGAAAAGCTTTGCCTCGATTGGCATCGTGGAACACAAGGTGTTGAAAGTTCTCAAATTTTATTTTTATTGTTATTGTTATTTTTATTTATATTTTTCCCCCCCTGCTCGAGGCCCGTCCCACCCACGTCATGCACCTTCAATTGACAGCGCAAAGTTGCATCGTGACGGCAACGGATGGTCCCCATTGGGAACACTTTTCGAACTGATAGGTAACCCCAACGCCATCCACCTGCATGATAAAGGTTACTTTCGGATTACATGCATCCTGTCCTTTTTGCTTTTACCAGTTAAATAAGGGGTAGGTTTGGTCTTTTTGTTGTTCGAAATGCTTCCAGCATAATCTTCCCAGAAGCCCGAAGGAACATTGTATTTTCCCTAGCGAGTTAATGGCTTTTCTTTCACTGTATTTCTTCCAAGAAGTGACCATAGCCATCGAACTAAGTCGTTCTCCGTATCTGCCGCGAATTTGTTAGGTACGCAACAAAGAACGGACTTGTGGGATCTGGAACTCGCTACCGGGCAGCACACGGACACGACGCACTCGCACACACATCAGGAAATGTCCTACGAAGATCAAGGGTCCTTTGTTACACGGAAAAGACGACATACCGACCTAAACTCGAACTTTTTTTCCACCTAGAAACGTGTTTCGAGTGACACAAAACCGACGGTGGTGTGCCTCGGGCTATGGAAACCAAAGGTCCTGAACCACGGAAGCGGTCTGGAGTCGAGGTTGACATTTCCCTGTCCTGTCTGCAACACCACATCACCAAAACAAAGACAAGACACAAGGACAGACAGGCAAATTTACCGAAGGCATCGAGATGGCGAGTTTCAGGCCCTTCGCCTCCAAGTATAATGCTCGACTACAGTAACCCAGACAGAGACAGCCAACGAACGACGCTGAAAGGGGCTACAGTGGCTACATTGTTGTTACACAACACAAGACTATTCATCATTCGAGGCCACTTGGTGCTTATTGGACTTTACTTGCCCTTGATAGTCGTAACGTCTCGACAGAGACAGGAAGCTCTTTCGCCCATAGTTTCTGATTGAGAAAGCCATAATGCAACCTGAGAATACCGGCATTTCCGGAACCGGAGTAGAGATTCCGCATTGGTGTTGCAGAAAGCGAAGAGAACGAGGAGAGGAAGGAGACAGGATGCAACAGAATCGATAACACGTAGGTGAAAGGTGAGGGCTAGATGACTAAGTGAGCCAGTCAAGTCCGTGGACTAACATGAGGAATGGCAGTCCTCTTGAAGTACGCGAATGGTGTAGTTGACCCGGGTCTTCAACCACCGTATATATAAGTATGTGTGTGTATGTGTGTGTGTACCTTTCGCGGAGCCACAGAGAAATTGTCATGCAGACGTTGCCGAGCAGGTAAGTTAACAGGCCATGGCTTGGTTTCGTTAAGATGGCTAGGCGTGAAGGGACAGATTGGAACACATCTATTCGCCTCGACATCCCACGCGGAGGCTCCCACGGCAACACCCGTCCTCGAATATGTATTCTGGACGGTCGACTGCATTGAGTCAACTTTGGCTCTTAACAGCTCTTGCTCTCTTACCCCGTGAGTTTTCGAAGCTGGCGGTTCATAGCCTGTTCCCCTCACCAACGGCATCATTTACTACTAGACTTGGTGAGAATTAATTATCTTGATGTTATCACTTGTTTTCGTCACGTACCTAATTCTATTTGGCGTTCGAGTTGTCAAGTCGAAACCGGACCCGACCTGTACTAACACGTTAGACATTAACATCAATACAATACTTTTACTAAAATCCTGGAGGGTATATTCCTGTCCCGTTATATTAACAGATAACGGCAGTATGTAGTGATGCCGGCAAACCGCCTCATAGCATCAGTGAAGGAGCCAAAAACCAGGTCAGCCAGCCATATTTGGAGAAGCAGGGCTACCGAGAGGGCATGAAGCAATGTGCATTGTTGAAGGGACGGTTGGAGCCATTGTTTGAGAACAAACATCCAGACAATTCGACGCCATAGTGAGCTCGACGGTAAAGAGGCAGCCAGCCATTCAGCCGCCTTGGAAGGGGTTAGTCATGCTGGCTGTTCGAGCCTTGCAACAACCGACAACCCCTTGAAGTGATACCTTTCGGAAACGAAGCCGATCAACTCCGAACTGGACAATCCAAAATCACATAGTGGGAAGGAGATGTCTGTGATCCAGACGGTGGGCTGGCCAATAATGTTGTACGGAAGTGATTGTCTCGTCTCAGAAGAAACTGTTGTATAGGTAGAGGCACCTAGGCAGTGCCAAGCATAGTGTATTGGAAAGTCAAACCATTGTCGGATATCAACGTTGGTCTGTGCACACCAATGGTAGAGCCTAGACTTAGGTTGCGGATAGTGAGTGATTCAACCATTCGCGAGGCCGTACTACGATGTACAGTCTTTGATACCTATAATGTAATGCTGCTGGATGGTGGTTCTGAATCTCATCTCCGCCCGGCAACATCAGGCTTGGCCTCCAGCCGTCCGCCTTCGCGACTTCGTTCGCGTTCATGGTCTGATTGGGGCATGATATCGAAGCCATGCGCATCGATGGTTGTGACGGCGGGATATGATGATGGTTGGCGCGCCAGTTTCATCAGATCCGATGTAGATTAGATGTTTCTGGTGCCGACTGCATGATGCCCGATCGTGGGTTGCTGGTGGGTAGGTACCTACACTCGGGTGGTGTGGAAAAAAAGGTCCGGACACTTGCTAGGTCTGCTTTAGTATAAGGTAACACTTCAAGTGTGTTCGGACTTTTTTCACACCACCTGGTACACTACTAGTGTAGTGCATTATACTTATGTCTTTTGTTTCTGGAGGATGAGCCGAACCGCTGCAATGTACGGGCAAGCACTCCAAGGTACCGGGCCTGGGCAGCGAGGAGGGTATCCAGCAATCAGCCAATCGGCGATGGAGCGACGAGGGACTGTTCAAAAGGCCGGCTCCACCTCTTCCTAGTGTACACTATGGTGAGATGGGTAAGACCCGTGGGCCAGGTCGCTGACGATCGCTGCAGTGACCACACAGTGCCCTATACGCTACAAAGCCACGAAGTTTCCGTCCTTGCCTACGATGGTTCGTGCTCGGTACTTCCCTCGACAAGGGGGTTTTACTTTGGCTCACAACCACCCGACAGTACATGTGTGGAGAAGTGGCGCTTGCCAATTCAACATGATGAGCGACGGACTCCTGCTCCAGCGAAACAGATGGGCTACACTGAACTTGACGCCAGAGTGACCTGACGGCGGGCTGGGAGGACAGCTGGTTTAAAAAAAAAGGTCCGGATGGACACTCGCTGGGTATGGTTTGGTATAAGCGTGTCCGGACTTTTTTCCACACCACCTGGAGGGATGCCAAGTGGAGAGGTCAATAATGAGGAATCGACAAATGGACAATCAATGGACCACCTGACGATTAATTGCGGACGGAATGACGCGCGATGAGAGATGGCGCTCGGTCGGTACAACACACTTGCAAATGAGGTTACGGAGAGCTGCTCTGTCCGTACATCATCCGTATGTTGCAACCTTCCGAGTCCTTCATTCTCTTTGGCGCGCAGGGTGCTGGTAAATTGATGGAAGGCAAATGAAAGGGATGGGATAAATGCCAACGTCGACTAATGCGACGCAACAACAGCAGTAGCATTACTTTCAGTTATATATGTAACCGTTTTATAGGCTTGCTGGTTTGTAAAAGGTGAACAAGTACGGCCTTGCCTCGATCGCCGTCGTGACATCAACTACCACTTCGCTTCACCAAAGTGGCCCTTGATGGAGACACCTTTCCGGCACTTTGACGACCTCGTGTTATCTCATCTCTGAAATTGTTATCCGAGAATACCGGCGTCACTCCTTTAGTCTGGCGTCGAACGTTCAGCACAGTCTCTCGCTAGAATTTCCTGGCCTTCTCTGGCTTCCTTTCTGGCCGCCTTTTGGGTCCTGGACTCCCGTCCTGGGGTTTCTGACGACAGCAAACCAACAACACCAAGACGGCAGCGCCAATATACCTAACCTATCTTGGATCTTTCAGGGGCAGGGGTTACCTTTTTCACGCCTCCCACGCCTCTCGCGCACGCTCTTTTTGGGCAGGACACACGCCTTTGATCGTGATCTCATCCATCCCCAGCTCTCGTCGCCTACCGTCGATAGCCTTTGTCCTCCCAGCGTCACTCGAGGCAAACAAGGTGCCTCTGACGCCCTCTTTCCTCACTTGGGCCTTTGTCATCGGCCTCACCTTGACGCCCAGAACTCCCCGGATTCCTCTCGACAACAGCGACTTCTACGGCGCTGCAACGTTGAGGACACCTCGCTGCCCTCACACCCTTCAAAAGAAGTGGGAGACCGGAGAACTAGGGGGGTGCGCGAGGGGTGCTACTTGACCAGGGACTTGTGCTGGGGTTGGCTAGCGTACCGCACTGGCAGCTAGGGGCGTTCAAGGGTCGCATCCAAGGGTTGCCGGGATAGGTCGACCACCTTCACCCTCACCGACCTGATCATCCTTCTTCGACGCTTCCTCGCTGTTTATACAATTCTTCCCGATTCCGACAACATTCCATTATCGAGACGCACCGAGACGCCATTGTGTCGTCTTCCCCGCATTTTGGCTTCCCGCTGTCGTCTAACCCACCGACAGCCTTGTGGTGCCTAGCTCCGTTCCGTTCATCCTCGCTCGACGTAAAGTCCCAACTCCAGCTCGTGTCGCGCATTCCCCCGAGTTCCGTCTTCCATCAAACCACGAATTCAACATCAACTGCAACCGAGAAGAACATTCTACCCAGGAACCGCTTGGTTTTCTTCCGTTTGATAACCTACCGCCCGCGAACAGACCAGCCTCTGTTACTAGACCGCCTAAACGACCACCTGGCATCCAGCTTGACGTAAAGCTTTCGATCGCCCTGGGCCTTGCCTGCTTCAGGTGCTGGGTTGGAGAGACCTCGGGGATTTGGGGTGATACGTCTGGCATAGATGGTGAATGGTATTAGGAAGTGTTTTGGATGAAGCATTTGCGGAATAAAGCACCCGTTGTTACAACATTAGCTTTCGTCATTCGCCTCGCTCCTGCCAACTCCCCCCAAACAGACTTGGGGACCTGCATGGTGGTTCCTTCCAATTCAACCCTGTTCAACCGTTAAGTGAAGCGGCTCAAGCCCAAAGAAGGCAAGAATGGCTTCGGAAAGCTTCATGCCGACAGTAAAATGCTCGTCATGCGGATCCCAAGTTCCGATATCTATGATGGGCGAACATGTTTGCGCCGGAAGCTCAGATGCAGACGATAAGGCAGACGAGCCTGTTTCAGCAGCTCCGCCAGCAACTTCACTGTTTGGTCGACTGAACCCTTTTAGTGCCTTGTCTGCTGAGCAGCCTCAGGCACCTCAAGTGGACACTACTGTCGGTGGTAGGTTTCATCCTTTCTTGACGTGCTTCAGATTCCCGTACTGACGATGCCTTTTCAGATCGGCTATCCACAGGTCCATCCCAAGACACCCGCGGATCGGTCAGTTTGTCGCCAAAGACCCAAAGCGGACGACCTAGTCTCGGGAGCACCGATGATTCACAACCGATGCGCCGGCCCAGCGCCTTTGCAACGGGTAATGAGAAGGATCGGGCCCCAAGCCTGCTACAACGTATGAACAGCATGACCCCGGGGCCATTTGATACGGATCGACAGCCATCGGCGAGTGGGCGCAATGTCTCCGATTTCCGTCCGACTACGCCGCTGGGACGCAGCATGACAGATTTGCGGCCAAACACACCAGCGCGAAGCATGACAGATCTAGGACCAAACACACCAGCACGCAGCATGTCCGACCTTCGACCAAACACACCAGCACGCAGCATGGCCGATCTGCAACCAACCACTCCGATCGAACGGCCAGGGACGTCGGCACGAAACCTCTCTACTGGACCCGGAAACCCGATGACGCCAATGAGAGGGAATGGATCTGAAGGATCTGGTCCTCCCCAACGTGGGCCTCACCCACCGGGGCCGCCGCCACCAGGACTTGTTCAACAAGACCTGAAGCCCGACGACGCCTTCGCCATGCTGAATCGCGCCGAGACCTTTCCCCGGTCAAGCCATACTCCAGAACCCCCACACCGGACACCATCCGCACCTGGATTCCGCCCCGAACGACCCCGACGACCGTCTGAAGCAGCTAGAGATGCCGCAAGGGGCCCGGTATCAGGGCCGATGCCAGGCCCGAGGCCAGGCGCGATGCCAGGTCCGATCTCAATGACGAACGATCATATGAGAAGGCCGAGTAGAGGCCCAGACACATCCCGTCCTCCACCACCACGGACCGGCCTCGTTCGGGCGAGAACTACAGGGCCAGATGGAGCCCCTGCCGTACCAGCCATCAATCTCGCAGAGGAATTCGGAGTAGGAAATCCATATCATACACCATCCGAATCCGTTTCATCCAATGAATCGAGCCAGGCTTCATTCAATGGTTCAACCCAGGACACTACTACCTTGGAGCGCCGACCTAGTCAAGCAAGTCAGGCTAGCTCAAGGACGAGCCCACCCCGATCTGTGGCATCCAGTGGGAGGAAAGGATCAGACACGCCCACATTTGACAGCTCTGTAACAGACCTACAGTCTATCGTGGACGAGGATGGAGGTAAACTGACGCGGACACCCTCTACGCAATCAGTTCCTTATGATGGTGGTATTCCTCAAATGCTCCGGAAGCTGAGACCACCACCCCTTAGCAAAAGGCCACCACCTCCAGAAGGCGGATATGATCCACGAATTGACCCACGCTTGCAGCGGAATAAGTCACCCTTGGCTTCGCCTGCTCTTGATCTTTCAGGTCTCGACGACCCAATGATTCGCCAATTTGATCGCGGAGTCTCTCCACAGCCCGGGCCATCTGCATCTCCGCTGCTAGCCTCGGCAACAATCGAGAGAAAGGATCGATCATCAACTGCAACCGCGAATAGCCAACAAGAACGCCCAGCGTCTCAATCGTCTCAGCGCCCTGCAGAGCGGAGCAGTCGCCAGTCCTTGTCCGCACTGGAGATACAACAACAGGAGCCGCCACAGCCAGACTCTCCTTTGTCTCCGGCAGAGGAGCAACAAATGCCTCAAATAAAAGCTCAAGCTAAAGAGCGACAGCCCTCTCAACCACCGCAACCCGCCGAATCGCCAGCTGCAAAGGTCGCTGAAGAGCAACAGGAACCGAAGACACAAACAAGCCCACGGGCTCCAGGACCGGACGAATGGCAGCGTAGGAGTAGCGATGGAACCGCAAGGCCGGATCAAGAACGGGAGCCGGCGCCCTCGCAGCCTCGACAGGCTCCTCCAGCTACCTCATCTCGTGGCGACTGCAAAGGCTGCAACCTGCCCATCACAGGTAAATCCATTTCCAGCGCGGATGGCCGTCTAACGGGACGTTATCACAAGGCCTGTTTCGTGTGCTCGACATGTCGCCAGCCCTTCTCCTCAGCCACCTTTTATGTCCACCAGGATCGACCGTACTGCGAGCGCCATTACCACGAGCTCAACGGAAGTCTCTGCGGAAGCTGCGACAACGGTATCGAAGGCCAATACCTCGAAGACGAACGGCGCAGGAAGCACCACGTCGGTTGCTTCCGGTGTGGCGATTGCAAGCTCGTGCTGAAGGACGGCTATTTCGAGGTCAACGGAAAGGCCTATTGCGAAAAGGACGCTTGGAGGAGGATGCAGTGGCTCGCTAGTAACGGCGGTGGGGGCCCGGGTCGGAAACCTCCTCCGCCCGGACCCCGGTTCGGACATCCTGGAGCAGGGGGGCCACCACGGACCGGTCCTATGGGACCGATGGGACCTGGTATGGGCCGCCCCGGTATGGGTCCGGGCGCACATGACCTGCCGCCGCCGGGTATGCCGCGCATGGAGAAGCGTATGACGAGACTTGGCATGATTTGAGCTGCTTCAGTAGAGGCACTGTTGAGAGCTGACTGATGGTTCTCGTTCAATTCGATCACATATTCCTTCCTACCCTGTGTGAAGGGAGGAGGGAGAAGGGTCGCTCTTGATTGGAATATCGTCTCGGCCTCTTTCTCCCTTGCGGGATGCACACAGACGGTTACTCGCGTTTTGTGCGCAAGAAACATTCTCTTTGGGATGTAATCAATACCCCTTGACTGGGTTTACCTGCTTCACTTTCTTGATTCATTTCTGATACCCATGCCAACTAGCTTGGCTTTGTTTACGACAAAGTTTCTTTTTTTTTTTTTTTTTCTTCCTTTTTTTCTTCTTCCTCTTTCTTCCTTTCTTTGTAAATGTACAAAAACTCAAAAAACATGTAATATCTGATGATAATTTTACAATGTGTCGCAACAACAATTTAGCTCCAAGACCTGATCTATCTACCCGTGGGTAGTCATGTAAGAGCAGATGGAGATTCGGAACAGGCAGGTTAGAAGAATCGGAAGAGGGAATTAAGCTTCAGGAGTTTTTGGGCAAGAAAGCATGAGAGCGGGCTGAGGATCCTGCTGTTCCATATCAAGGATCAGCTAGTAGTACAATCGGGAGGTTGCAGCGCCGGATTGCCCCAGGGAGCCAGTGGATACGAGAGAGGGGGGGAGGGAGGAAAGGAGGAAGATAGAAGGGACAAATACTATATAGGCTGTAGCACGCAATGCGTCACGGTCGTTGATTTCAAGCTTTGGTCATCGTCACTTTCCATCTTTGTGTTCCCCCTCGTGATACGCTTGTGGGTGAGTACTGCCGACCTGAGGTGGTCTCGGCAGTTGGACTTTCTGGCCGTACTTTTGCGTAGTAGAGAACGTCGAGGAAGCGAAAAAAGGGTGAGTGTGACGTTCGCTTGGGGATTGTAAAACTATGTAAACGGGCGTCAGGGGTACCCGGATTGTTGGGTAAGGTAGATCTGGGGGATCTTCATCCAGGTTGCATGCATGGGCGTAGTGTATTTACATTCCTGCGGCTGGGAGGTGTGGGGGTATGATGTTGTATTGGCTATCGTGTTGAACCACCGTAGACCTAAAGTAGAGACATGTCTTGATTATGATCTGGCTGCTCTCGAAATCTCTGTAGACACTCCTTACGGTCTCTTGTGATCGCTTGTTCCAGCTTCGTGAATACTCGTTCGCCGGGCTGCTACCGATGTATGTGGTGAGAGGTGTACGATACAGGACTGGTTTGTTTGTTAGTCTGGTTCTTCGGCCACAAGTAGGCTGAACAGGGGGGGATATTGAGCTCTTATTGGCTCCCTCAAAGTTTTTGTTTGAAGCGACGAACAATGACCAGGGTATAATGCGCCACAGAAGCCTCCTTTTATATCTTTATCCGTCTCCATCAAGACCCTCAATATCCAAATATACAAGAGGGTAGTCCCGTACGGTACCTGTCGGCTCGAGTTTCGTATGTTTTTCCACTTTCAGTAGCTTAAAGATAGAAATGGGCGTTTTTTTGTACCAAACTAACAAACATGCCAGTGCTGGATTGTACAGGTCTAGTGCGTTCTTTAAACCGAAGTGTTTGACAACGTCCGGCAAGCGGCCGGGTGCGTAGACCAATCCTTGGATTCTACGTACTGTGCAGAGTCAAGACTACCTTACTGTCAGAGTTCCCGTGAGAAATCGTCAAATAGGTAGATAAGTAGCCATAAGGAAGCTAGCGAACACAGCTTATTGCCTAGTATCCCTACGGAGGAGCCTTTCGTCGTTCATTTCTGCTCTTTCATAGCCTGGTGTGTATAGCCCCAGACTATGCATGTGGTGATTCCTAGTCGGCTGGTGCTAGTTGTCTCGTTGATGATACCATGAGACGGGCACTTACACGTCTTGAATTGCTTTGCCTACCCTTAAAGACGTCCGGGACACCCCTATTCTAATTTGATTCACCGCAATAGACATCATTCGTTCGGCGGGAGGTCAGCGCCAGGTATGTCGATCTGGCGGAAGGACTCAAAAGCGTGGGCAGGCGCCGTCCTTGTCCAAGTCAAACAACGGAATCTAAGTACTTGGGTATGTTTCGAAGCGGGGGTTACAACAGAATCACTCCTTCCAATTTCATCTCATCATCTGGACGTGGGTCAGTCGTAACACCGACGTGAAATACGGCCGACTTTCAAGTTTCTTCGCCAAACGAAGTGACGAAGGGGGAAGGAAAGAACGTTCCGCACGTTGCGTGTTTCATTGTGCTACCGCCTGCTGTCCTGGATGTCTCGCAGGGCCGCTTGCAGGTTGCCGGTCACAGTCGGGTACCCAGACATTTTTGATAGTGTCGTGATTGAATTCCAGCATCTATCGAGGTTGCCCGCTACCCGTATCCCTTCGAGTTTTTTTGACTCGCTGCGGGCTACTCTACGAAGACACCTTGTCTTGTCCCTCTCCCTCTCCTCCCTCCCTCCTCAAGCGAGCGCTTCACCTCCCGCCAACTTTCTTGATCATGATTTGGACTACCAAATCACAATCTTTCTCAGTTAGATTCCCCTTGAAGTGGTACTAGGCGGGACTCTTTGACGCGGTCAGGCGGTCGTCGCCTTCATTGCGCGCTTGCAAAGCACTCGCACCTGAGGTGCCTGCAGCCATTCGAACTTCACACTCGTTTGCAGACCATGATAATCAGAATCCAGCGCCACCGGGCGCTGGGTCAGCCCCTCGTTTTTGTTTCCATTACACTGGTCATACTTGCTACGGCAAGTTTTCTTCTTAGAAGCCAACAATACAAGTCGATACAACTGTCGGAAGCGACCGACTTCACCAAGCCGCCGCCCTTGGGTGGCGCAACAACTACGCAGGTTCATGTGATACACTCCGACACTGAGGTTGATAGTCACCAGGAAGTACCGACACAGGAGGAGTTCGAGGAGGAGAGTAGGAAGCTGTTGGAGTAAGCCGTACTCTTCAGTGGCACAAGCCACCCAGTCGAATCCAATCGCACTGACAAATTTGACCAATGTAGTGATCCTGAGGAGGGCGCAATCTACGGAAACACCCTCGAGACACTCATCGATAAAAACAAGCGAACGGCCCAACAGAACAAGTTCCTCACAAGATCACGGAGCAAGGTGCCCTATAGTATCGACGAGCCGTATATCTTCAACCCATATCCACAATACAACAGTCGAACCTGGAAGTCGTCGCACTCCGCCTATACACCATGCTTGGGCCCAACTGGGAAAGAGGTTGAGGATATCCACGTCTTCAAAGGGCATCCATCCAGGTTCCCTGAGCCTGGTTTCGGTAGCTACGATCTTTTGGGAATTGACAAGAATCTTTGCTTTGAACGAAGGACTCGATTAGGCCCGTACGGGGTGGCGCCCGTGGAGGATAAGGATGGGCTGCCGTTGGATTGGGAGACGGCGGACTGGGGAGAGCTTCAGTTGCAGTGTTTGCACACGAACAAAGGTCGATTTGCGACGGAATATCCTACCAACACCTTCTCCGACGGCGACAGCGGGTTCCATGTGGCGACAGAAAGAAAACACAAGGCAGACGGACCTGCAGACTCAATTATGAAGAACATGAAACAATGGTGGACTCCGAAAAAGCAATATGGATCGCTGACGAACATGACGGGTAGAACCGACAAGTCGGCAACGGAGCTAAGAAGCGCTGTTCTTCTTCGCTCTTATACGGGGAAGAAATACACAGAGAACGACAAGCAAGTTATCAGATCCATGGTGACAGAGCTGAGCTTGCGAACAGGAGGACAATATCAGGTCTTCCTTTTCGTTCATGTCAAGGAGAACCGCGACATTTGGTCGGACGACGAAGCATATGAAGACATATTGGATACCGCGGTCCCTGTCGAATTCAGAGGGATGACGGTACTTTGGGATGAGGCATCCATGAAGTTGGTATATCCTAAACTGAGCAAGGAGGCGATCCAAGTCCACAACGCACAGTTTCTGTCTGTACAAGTATTCATGCAAAAGTTCCGAGAGTTCGATTTCGTATGGAATTGGGAGTTGGATAGTCGTCTGACTGGCCATCATTACGACTTTTTGACTAAACTTATTGATTTTAGCAGGAAGCAACCAAGAAAGGGGCTATGGGAGCGAAACGAACGGTTTTATATCCCATCTTACCATGGCGATTACGACACGGTATTCCGCAAGAGCGTTGAACAGGCGGCTGGCCAGGATTCCATATGGGGTGCCCCTAACTTACCCGTCGTCAACCCAATCGGGCCAAAACCACCACTTCCAGCACCAGAGCTGGATCGATACGAGTGGGGTGTCGGCGAGGAAGCTGATCTCATTACCCTGTCGCCGATGTTCAACCCTATAGACAGCAACTGGGTTCTGCGCGATCAAGTGTGGGGTTACCAATCTGACGCCTTCCCAGGCAAAGATCTCCCTCGCAGGGCAACCATCATCACGCAAGTGCGATTATCGAGGAAGCTGGTCGATGCCATGCACGCCGGGAATCTGAGGGGAAGTCACGTCGGCTCCGAGATGGTAGCCCCGACTACCGCTTTAGTCCACGGACTCAAAGCCGTGTACGCTCCGATGCCTGTGTTCTTCGACCGGCCATGGAACGGTACCCAGCTGGCGCGATGGTTCAACGGTGGACCGCGGGGGCAGAGCGGCGGGTTGGGTAGCGCGATGGGATGGGGCAGAGAAGGGAGGTTCCAGGGTGCCACGTGGTACTTCCGCGCCGTTCCGCCGCCACGGTTGTATAACAACTGGATGGGATATGAAGATACGGGCGTCGGTGGCACCGAGTGGGAGCGCAGTCATGGTCGGCCGTGCCTGCCTGCCATGTTTCTCCATCCGCTCAAAGACGTCAGGCCGACACCGAAGGGGTATACATCTGAGTCGAGGTTGCCGTACTAAATATATTGACGTTGATGTTTGAAAGAGATGTAGGCACAATTATGCTTGATCGAGATGAGAAGGGATAATGTCACACGTGTTGACTGTCTGAGTCTTGTGACATCGTCGTCATGCTGCAATGCGATCATGGAGGCTGCGGAGGTAGTGTACAGGTAGTGTACATAGAACCCCTTTTCGCCAACCTTAATCCTCCACGCCTAGCAAGGAATAGAGTCACGAGAGCTGGGGGCGGGAACCCCCTTTTCTGAAAGGCAAACCTGCATGGGTCCAGACCACACCACGTTGCGCTGAGGGATGATCACAGGGCGAACCATATTCCTTTCAAATCAGGAAGTGATCTTACAGTATGCCTTTGTCGTCCACTCGTATCAGGCGCACGCACTGCCTAGAACTGCCAGAGTGCCTAGCTAAAACAAAGTCAAGACAGTTGATGTTCTTCCCTTTTTGGTTGTGTTTTCACCGCTGTTGGGTTATGGATTCCCGCTGATATAATGTTTTTTTTGCTGGGTACCTATGTCATTGAACGTTGCAGGTTGGGATTTGCATTTTGCGCAATTCGCGTGCTCCCTGATCCTCGCTCGGGATGTGCTCTTCCAGAACGTACGATATACGCAGCATGGAAGTAGGGAGATTGCCTTGTCTAAAACATCCAGTCCCGCTGAGGAATGAGGATGGTCATGGTTTATCAGTCGTCAGGCTCCGTTCTCTGATGGGTAACTGTACCTAATAGAACCTATCCAAAGCAAGGGATACTTGCTTGATTCCTCCGAAAAGTGCAGTTTATATAAAAAAAAAAAAAAAAAAAAAAATGCCATGGCAATGTCAGATTCCATGTGACAACATGCACAGCGGAAGACGTGCACGATTCGCTCGCAAAAAAAGGGCGAGTTCGACCAGTTTGAAACAAACGTTGATTGGCAGTCGATGGCGGTGAGGTGTGGGGTCCATTGAGCTGCAATGAGGCCAACCTGCACCCAAAATGCGCCAAAGTGCGCCAAAGTGGCACGATGTTCTTTCGGTCGCTCCCGGCTCTGTAGAACGCGCGGAAGCTGGACCCTAGTCTGTTGCCTGGAGACCGGACGTTTTGGAAGTTGTCAGCAACGAGAAACTGGTTGCAGCTGCGACCGACGGAAGCTCGATCAGACGAGAACGAGAAGGCACGAACCGACGCTCAGCCACTTTCTTTCAAATAGGAAATGTCTAATTGGTGGAAAGTTTGCAGTTTGCACAGCTAGTAGCAGGCAGGCCAGGCTCAAAGGCCAAAAGTCCAGTCGAGCTTGGGCTTGTTGGGGAAAGCGGAACGCTGACGAGGCTTGTGTGAGTCGATTACCAGACGACCTAGGCGGTCGTAAAAATCAACCGAACATGGACAGTCCAACACGGCTCGATTTGGCGAGGAAAGGCCATTACAAAATTGTAATAGGTCCCCCTTCTTTGCAATTCATATCGGCCTGAATCACCTAGGGATTTCCTTATTTAAAAACTGCCTCGAGATTACCTCTAGATTCAGAGGCCCAAGATGTTGGTGTATTGAGTATACTGACCGTAACGTCCAGGTGTTCGGTTTAGTGTAGAGGTACTCTTACGACCATTCGCCAGGGATCACTTTGGTTGGGTAGTGCAGCAACCCGGGCCGCTGTGTTCTGGCCTGTTGTACACTAATTCAGTTGTACTGTGGAAAAGCGTCTTGTTGATAAGCGATCGGCAAGGTACACGTACACTATAGTACGGTACGTACCGAGTACACAACCCCATGGGCTTTCTGCAGGGTTAACTTTTCTGTCGAGCGGGAACGAGGAGAACGCAAATGTGAGGTACTCCTTTTCAAGGCTGGCGTTTAAAGAGCTGCTTTTCCCCAGCTTCACCTTCTTCCCTCCTGGTCCTGTCTGAACTAATCTTCTATAATTGCATTCAATTGTCCTCAGTCGAGACGTTGTCTCATCATCAACCAACACCACCTTTGATTCTCCAGCCAACCGCCAAGACTCCACTCACCGAACCATACATCGACATACCACTTACACCGAGTTAATCACCTCGAAGACACCTCACGTTCCTCAGTTTCAAAACAAACTATCGAGTGAAATTGAAGAAGAGAAAAACATAAATAAAGACCGAATCAAGATGTCGCCCACACACACCATGTCCGCCCACCTCTGCAAGCAGATCTATTCTGCATGGTGTCAAGACCACACGGGTTCCCCTAAGCCCCATGCCACCAGCCCGCTGCCATCGCCCACCAACTCGTCTGTCTACTCGGGCTACTTCCAGCGATCGCCGTCCCCTGAGCAACACAAGCGGCCGATGGACAGTGACCGCTCATCGACCTCCAGCTGGCGATGGAACAACAAGGACAACTCTCGCTAAGATATTGAGATTTGATGTTTCTTAGGAGGACTTGTTTTCTTGGTTATTATTTTTTGGCGGACATCCAATAACTGGCGCATGCGAAACGGGACTGGGTACCTATCTAGCGGGACGGCGTATACTGTAATGCATTTCGGCGGTTTTTTCAGCGGACAGCGGAGCTATCAACAGCGCGGGCAGTCCTTACAAGCGTTGGATATCATTTATACGACGGCAACAGGGGCAATAACAGCGACTTCTACAAATTCCAACCAGACTACCAGCAACGAAACATCGCGACCATGAGTTCTACTGATACTCAGCCTTTCAGCGAAGGAGTCAGCCATTGCCCGTCCGTCTGCTTGTAATTCAGGAAGGCAGGCAGAGAAGCAGGGAGGCTTATCCATGTTATGTACAGAGGCTTTGTCACTCCAGATGCTAGTGTCACCACCACCTCCAGGCATCTCCAGCTCTACACTAGCTTTGTCAGCCCTACGAGCCCAGTCCCGAGTCTTGTCACCACAAGATTCCCAAGTTCGGCTCAGACAAGCGCCGGGCCGATACTCTCCCGTCCTGGGAACGATCGTTCGGTTTCGCGGCGGCAGTGGGTACATCGCTTTGTACATCGTCCCATTACACCATCTCATCACGCCATGTCGCTATACCTATCGCCAATGCGGAGTGACCTTCGGATGGTATCACGCCATCGCACGCCGCTTCACTTACCTCCCTCTTTGTCTTCCTGCTTTTCAATATTTCCATTGGCATTATTTGGCGTTGCACACGCACTCACTGGTGCCGTGTACCGTTTCGGTGCCGGTTTCCATGTCGGTGCTGGCGTTTATTAACGCTGAGGTGTACGAGCGGATGGCATGGGAAGATGGGATGTCATGTTGATGTTGCTGGGGGTGGTCTTGGGATTGTTCTGCTGTCATGTGCTGCCTCGTTTTCATACTTGATTGGATGCAAGAGTTGTGGGAGTTTCTCATGTCAGTCAGTTTGTCGCTTGGTGCTTGACAAGTTGTCTCTGTGCGAGTCGATGAGATATCGTGATCATCGGCGGGGGATTATAATAGGATTGAAGCGGAATTTGAGACCCACTTGAAAACAGCCTTCTCAGCAGATATTGTGATGTCTTGTGAATGAGCGCCCGAGTAGTGTTATGTTCGATGATGCTCGTAAGGTTTACAACCTCACCACACCTCTAGTCAGTGTCGATTCGGTAGACTTGGCGAGAAATGTGTTTCGTTTCCCCTAATTGCAAATGTTAGGCTGTGGTTTGAGCAAGCATGGCAGTTGCGGGGGATGAAACAGTCGACTCCGTGCGAAGCTCATCATGCATCCAAACACTTCCTTGCCCGTGACCATAGCAAGATTTAAAGCAAGATAGATTACCTGTATAGATGATACTGAATTGTTCAACTCATGTAGAGACACAACAGTAATAACAAATACCCATACTACACCACCGAAAACGCCAGGTGAACGAACCGGAGACAATCATGCGCATAACTCCCTTCTCTTTCGTATCATGATGTAAATGAATGATGACCCCAGCGTCGAAGTCCCAGCCAACCCCTCTGCGAGTGACCCCTTCATCATTTTATACCCCTACTGTGTTCGCTACATTTCATCCCCACAAACCCAAACTCTTTCCGCATCCAGTATGTCCCAAATCAAATCAATTCTCCTTCACCTTCCTCCTCATCCATCCCCTCCTCATCCTCACTCCACTGCATTTCCGCAGCCGCCTTCTCCGCCAACCGCTGCACCTCAGCTAGCCCACTCAGCTCAGCCACGTAGTCCCGACTAGCCAGCGCCGTCTTGACAAACTCCCATCCGCCCTCCTTGTATGCGTCGAGGATGGGCTTGCTGCAGGCGCTGCACTGCGGGTACGACTTGCCGCGTATAACCATGTTCTGGAAGTTGGATAGGAAACCGCGGACCTGGTGCGGGACAAGACCGAGGGGATGGTCAGGGGGATCGCGCTCGTACGAGACGGCAGAGCCGGTGCCGGTCGAGACGGGCGCGGGCGCGTGTTGCTTGAGCGGGTGTTGCAGGATGCTGGTGAGAAGCTCGACGAGGAGGGCCGAAGCGATGGCTGCCACGCCGGGACGGGTGACGGTACATTGTTGGTCGAGCGTTTGGTCTTTCATCGACTGGGTTGTAGACTCGGTTAGCTGCTTTCCCCAATTCGCTTTCGATGAGTCAGTAGATCCTTACATCGGCAGCGACTACTACGTCGTTGCAGAAATAACATCCAAGCGTCTCTTCACTGCCGTCGTTCGGCGCCGCACCATGTCGCATGACAACGTATGTGTCGAATCCGAGCGCCGCATTCATCACGATCTTGTTCGCAGCTTTGCCCATCAGCGTGGGCAGCCATCGGGACTCGCGCGTGTCCATGAGGAGGAAGATCGCATCGTGTGAATCGATTAACTCCTTCAGCTTATCAAAGTCTGCTTTGGTTTTTGTCTCGTTGTGGATCGCGTGGTCCAGCATCGGAACAGAGAGTGCGTAGCCCTCTACATCAACTCCTGGATAGATTTCTTTAAGTGCCTCGGCAGCTTGAACAGCCTTCGGCTTTCCCCCATTGTGACAATCTTCAAACTTGAAGAGAGGCTGCCGTACTGGGTTTGAAAAAGATACGCTCCCATAATCAATAAACGTGATCTTGCGAACTCCCCACCCTAGCAGGTTTCTCGAGACATAGCTGCCGAGTGTCCCTGCGCCCAGCAACAAGCATTTCGTATTCTTGATCGTGTCCAGGTCAAGATTCGGCGCGAGCCGCCACTTCATCAGCTTCAAGTTCAAGTCCACTGCCTGATCTGCTAGTCGAGTGGGATCCATGTACTCTGCCAGATTCGCGACCCGTGGCCTAAGATCGCCGTTACCGTTCCTCTCCCAACCTGTAACCTTGGGCATACACTTCAACTCCACGTCGCCAACTTGGTCCATCGCCAGTGGCAGGATGGTGCTCCGCGCTTCATGCCTCCTAGGCTGCGTGTCGCGGTAGCAAAGAATCTGGACCTTATTGAGGCGGTATCTTTGCCGGATAAGGATGAGGAGATTGCGAAGAGGCCAGGAAGGGTACTCGGGATAGTTGGATGGGTCCACGAAAGCAACGTATCTGTCCTCTTCCGCCGCGTCGTTGAAGAATCCCGTCTCGAAGTCTCTGAGAGATCCAATATCCCAACGGTAGCCGATATCAACCCCGGGATCATCAAGTGAGGATCTTGGGCCTGCGGCCTCGCGACGCACTTTCTTTGCGAGGAAGAATCCATGCTCCCTCCTGTCAACCATGTATCGCCATGTTCCTATGCGCTCGACCAAAGCAGTGCTTTCGTCCGAGGTCAATCGGCCAATCGGCCCCGTTCGCTTCCACTGCGGCTCCGAGTGTAGGGCTGGAAATGCGAACCAGTAGGTGAACCTGTACTTCTTCAGGTCGGCGTATGACAGAATTCGGAAAGAGGCAAGTAGCGATGGGCAGGAGTATATCGTGCCGTCTTGAATAGCGTCCCAGATCTTTTATCCGCCCATTAGTAAGCATTCATTACGGCGCAAGCACTGGCGCGACCCAGAGTGAAGCTACTGGATACGAACCTGTTCGCCCGCCTTCTTGATCATCGCATTCTTGTCCGTGTTTTTGAATTCCTCGATCGTGTTGACGTTCTTAATGTAGCCTTCGGCTCTCGTCATGCCCAAGGGCCCGCTTTCGTCCCTATCATCAGGCTTTGGTTCGTAAAGTATAAAAGCAAGCGTGCATGGGAACTTACTGGTCGCTTGTTAGGGCGCTCCCTAAGATCTGCATTCTCGTACTGGCCTCTGGACTCGCGTGCGACCGAGGTTCGTATAAGCCCAAGACGGGGCGGGCCGAAGAGTCAAGCTTGTCATGGTCGAGTTTGGACGAGAAGAGGGCCGAGTAGAAGGGCAGCTCGATCTCCGAGGAGAATGTCGCAAACTTGAGATCCATGGATGAGGGGGGCGCACAGCCGGCCGCGATGCGCGCTTAAAGACTTCGGATGGGGGGAACTACTGATAATGGATGTAACGACTTTCCTAATGTTGGCATGCGTTTTCTATCCCAAGAAGTAGCGGTCGAAGAAGGCTTAAGTTGGCAGCCTAGCGCACACGGTTGGAAGCTTATTGATGTACCCTTTTTGCGACAAGATTGACAGCAGTCTCGTCGTCTCTGGAGGGCGATTGTACAATGAATCAAGAAGACGGGTTCACCAGAGTGTGGGCGGTGGTCAGCGGTTCTGCGTCATCTGCTGTCTTCCCTATGACCCGATCCCTTGTCACCGGACTATATACGCCGCCAGGATGCACTCGGGAACGTTTCACCGATATAGGAACCAAGTGGGCGACGATGGTCCAGAGAACACACCTTGACTGAAACTGCTGAAGCTGTGTGAATGGGTAAGGGTAGCAGCGCGGAAATGACTCCTTTCATGAGCTGAGCGAATATACACTGAACGGGTTGGAAGAGGAGCTGGAATGTCTTGGTTTGTCTGTTTGTCACACCGGGAAGAACTGAAGCTTACATACTCAAGGCAGCTGTGCCCCGCATTAGGTTGACCAACACCCGAAAGAGCGGCCAAGACGGGAGCGGTAACCCACTCCTGGTATGCACGATGGGTGGGAATACCCCGCCGGCAGATCCTCGGTGCCCTGATAGCGGCTACACCCACTAAACGCGTTCCTAAAGTCGCCCGACGCGTCTTGTCGGGTCAACGACAGATAGTCGCATGAATTCGACCCCATCCAGAAATCGATGAGTACACAGTAAATACAAATTGTAGATTGTGTCTCAGATCAATGTCGTGATAGACTTTTTTTTTCCTCTCTCTCATCACACTCCTTTTAAGAACGGACTTGAAAGGAAATTCGCCATGTTCATCGGCATCTGCGGCAGTACATTAGCCCCTCTTGTCTTTCCTTATCTTCTACCCAGTTGAGTCACTTACACGCTGTCAATAGGTATTTGCGCCGGCAAGAGCACCATCGCTCAATATCTCGTTGAGCACCATGGCTTCACACGTGTATCTCTAGAGCATACAACTAAGACAATCGATGATATCGTCAGCGGAGAGACCCCAAATGATCATGTCAACGGTCTAATCCACAAACTCTTACCCGCCTACATCACCTCTCACACCCAATCTTCCACCTCCGCGCGCTCGAAGGGCCATGTCTTCCCCTCCGCCGACGATCTCCTCGACTTTATCACTAAGCACTGGCGCGAGCGATGGGTAACAACGGACATTCCCACCGAGGGGATCCTCGACATGTACACCCGCCGGCCTTTCTTCCTGCTTATCAGCGTCGATGCTCCCCTCACTGTCCGATGGCGCCGCTTCCGTGAGCGCGGGGAAAAACAACAACGTCACCGAAACAACATGAAGTCCTACTCCTCCTCCGCCGGCGGTGCCGCCCTTGCAGCTGGAGACGAAGAACAACAAGAAGAAGAAGAACCCCTCATCTTCGAATCCTTCGCCCACCTCAACGACACGCAACTCTTCCTCCCCCAAACCGGCCGGCTCCCACTGATGTCGCGCGCCACCGTCCGCCTTCTCAACACGTCGCCCTCTCTTGCGCATCTCTACGCCACGCTGGGGAATCTTGACCTGCTCAACCCGGACCGTCTCCGGCCCTCATGGGACTCATACTTTATGGCGCTCGCCTCGCTCGCCGCGCAGCGGTCCAACTGCATGAAGCGGCGGGTCGGTTGCGTCGTGGTCCGCGACAAGCGCGTCATCAGCACGGGGTACAACGGCACGCCTAGGGGATTGATCAACTGCGGCGAGGGCGGGTGCGGGCGGTGCAACGAGGGGCAGGGGTCCGGGCAGGGATTGTCTACGTGTTTGTGCATGCACGCGGAGGAGAACGCGCTGTTGGAGGCCGGACGGGAGAGGGTGAGGGAGGGCGCGGTCTTGTATTGCGATACTTGCCCATGCCTGACGTGCAGCATCAAGATTGCGCAGGTGGGGATCAGTGAAGTGGTGTATAGCCAGGGGTACAGTATGGACGGGGAGACGGCGGCGGTGTTTAGACAGGCGGGAGTCAAGTTGAGGCAATTCATTCCGGTAAGTGATGCTGTTGTGTTCCTTGCATGTTCATCCTTACCCTACATGGCCTGCGAAAGTGGAGCTGGAGGTGATGATATGCTAACAACAGCATTTGTGTGCAACAGCCAGCAAATGGTTTGATATACTTGGAGAAGACCGACTTTTTCCCTCAAACGTAAATGAGTTGGAGCATTAATAGACGTCAATCAACATGGACATGTGGAGAGGTACCAGTAACCATATCACAAGAAATGATGCACAGCTCTACTATGACAAATGACAACTTGGCAACGATACGAACCAAAAGTTTAAGGCGACAGCATTCACTATGTATTATGACTGGCAGTTATGTTTGGATTCAGAGCAACAACATGCACAAACGCAACAAACGACATTGTCATGAGTAGACAAACTAGGTATCAATAATATTAAGAGATGACTGAAGTATAGAAGGAGCTTATAGTAGGCTGCAGCAGTGGTGAAAAGGCGTTCAGGGTCCCCCACAAACGTCCACCTTTCCCTTGCTCCGACCTTGGCGATGGCGATATCTCAATGTCCGTTGAGGCTGCAGTCCACAAGTCCAAAGAAAAGTCGCCGTTGAAAAGCTCAAGGTTCGACTAGAAATGGCCCTCTTGCAGAGATTAACCATTTCCGTGTTGGCCGTGTTATCCCATGTCCTCCCTTGAACCGCAAAAGGAGAATCGAATACCGAGGGGGAAATGGTAATAAAGGTTGTGGCCAGCAAACAATGGCTGGAAAACGACCAATATCGGTATCGGATGATGGTGCGTGTGTGTCGGTGAAAATGAAATGACGAATCCGGGAGACCCTTCTTCCCATTCTCCAGACCGCGCCTTGAAATAGCACTCCTTGTCTTCCACTTTTGCAGCCAAAGTAAGCTCATGAGGAAGCTCATAGTAAGTAGGAGGGATTTCCTCCCCGTCCAAAACACCCATTCAATCCGAGAAACCTTCCCAAATTCATTTTCCACATACATACCACCCCTCTCCCAAAGGTCCAAATCATAACGATTTCATTAACATCCCTCATCCTATCTTCATCTCTTCATTGTGGCCGACATGTTCTTGCGTGAAATGGGAGAGGGGTAGGTTCAAACTTGTTGTTGAGTTTGTGTAGGTAGCTTAAAACTGGGCCTTGCGCTCCCGGCGAGCAGCGCACTTCTTGTGGATGAATAGAGCAACGAGGCCGACAAGAACGATGAAGACGACGCAGAAGACGACAATGACACCAGCCTCGCGGCCAGCCCAGTTGCTGCGCTTGGCGATAAGGTTGAGGGTGTCGCGGACGACAACGGAGCGCTGAATGGCAGGCATTTTGTGATATCTGGACGAGCAAAGCAATGTTAACAATCCTGCCCAAATGGAAGCTGGATGGCGATACCGAACAGGAGATTGTGGAAGAGAGGTTGGTAAAGAGTGGGGTATGATAGGCAAAGGCTGCCGGGGGCGGTGAGAAGGGGACCCATAGGCCGATCCAAGCCCGATTAAAGACCGGTGGTGAGATGCCCAGGGTGCGAAGTGGATATCGCGTGAATGATGCGATGATCGTGGACTTCGCCAATCGTGGGTGCCAATTGGCAAACTGATGACGCCCGGGGAAAAACGCCATGTACCTGCAAGCTTGGCACTTGGCATCCGTCATGTTCCACCCTCTTACCGTTCCACAAAGCCAAGCCAAACACACGAGCTCCAGTTGCCATCCAACGCAACCATAGCAGATTGCAAAGCAAAAATCCGGAGCGGCCGAAGGAACAAAAAGTCCCTCTCGTCGCAACCCGAAATGCTATGTTTCTCTGGTGCTGGCTACATTGGCAGTCTGTGCTGGTGCGGTGCGGCTTTGCTTGAGAGCGGGTGACAGGATCAAGGGAAAAGTGCGCGACGCAAGAGCATCAGTGCGCACATGACGTCCGCATCGGCTGGTCGGACGGATAGACGATGAAGGTGTGTTATGGGGAGAGGAAATAGACAGGAAGTCAAGGAATGGGAACGCTTACGGGTTGAGAAAACTCGAAATAAAGCCGAGGTGTAATAGGTATTAGTGATCCTGCGTTTCGCTAAACAGAAACGAGTCGGCAAGGGCAAAGCTTCAAGCTTGATGAGAACGGAGACGGGTTGGATGAAGGCCGTAGGGTCGAAATATATTCGATTATGGAGGTGGATAAGAGGAGGAGAATTGGCGAACAACACAGGACGAGGGCAGGGAGATTTTGTGAGGATATGCAGAACCGACTTGGAATAGCGGGCTAGGGCGGAAAGTCTCCTGTCTGGATGATTGCTGTCGAGTGAGGTTGAGGGGAAGGGAAGAGAAGAGAGGAATGGGCGCGTGAATCGAAGGGGCAGACGGGGAAGAAAAGAGAGAAACAAAATACCTCCAGTGGAGCTTTTTACTGTCGTCTGTTTCTCTTGACGGGAGGGGGGGGTGCGTGTTGTCCGCGATTGATGCCGCCGGGGCAACCGATTGAGATGGGGTGTGAATCCGGCAGGAGGGAGTGGAAGAACTCGCTCCCGTCGAACTGCAGCCAGACTGCAGGCGAGACTGGCTGCCAGGTTACCGTGCCGAAGTCCATCCCACGGCCCACGATACTTCCTTATGGGCACTACTACTTACACATCACCACCCAACCACGCCCCAGCCAAAGAAAAAA